TTTGGAGCATAAAAGTATAAAGTAATACAATATAATTTTTAATTCTATTAAGTACCTAGAGGTCTATCCCCTTAAGTCTCTTAAAATAATTTTAGAAAACGTTAAATCAAATAAGATAAATGAATATTAAGGGTTATTTACTATTTAGAAAAACACTCGGTTATTGCGTAACTGCTTCTACTAATTTTTTAAACGCTAGTTATTAGTATTCTTTCTTTATATAAAAACGTTTATTATATATATAATTTAGTCCTCTATCTATATTAGTAATTCTTAATTTCCTATAACGATATTATAGCGAATAAAAATATTTTCCTCCGGCGGCCTAGGCTCGTAAATTATAATTTTCTTAAGTAATATACATTTAAGTTTTAGGATACGTATTATTTTTATTCCAAGAGCAATATAGTATATACTTATAATTACTATATTTACTTTATTATTGTAATTAAACTGTATTCATATTAGAATAAAACTATATTCCCTAATAACTTTAATCTATTGTATAAAGATTAATTTTTAAATTAAAGTAGAAATACTTATATAAAATTATAGGATATACTATAAATAGGTATTAATTGCTATATAAATTCCAATACTAAATTCTTTTAATTTAAAGTACGTATTAATATACTATATATAATTTAGCCTTAATATTATCTATCTACCCCTACGGCGCTAAAGGAGTACTAGCTTTTCTCGTATAGCTTTAAGAAAAAATAATTTGAAGTAAGTATAAAAAGGTTCGCGCGGAATATAGAAATTATATTAAGCTATAAAAGAATATTAGAGTTTTCGCCTACCTATTTATTAAATAAAGTACGTTACGTTGGTTTCTTTTATATATTTAAAGATTTTATATACTTTATAGAGTTTCTCTTTGAGGTTTGTAGGAGAATACTTTCTAAAGATTCCTAAACGCTTTTATAGAATTTAGAGCCCTTAAAGTAAAATTGTAAAGCCTTTATTAAGTAATATACTATATAAATTATAATTGCTTAGAGTAGATTCAAAATAGAACTACTTTATTACTATTTCTAATACGTTGGATTTATTAATTCTCAAACCTCGTTAAAGCGGAGTATTATTTTCTTTAATAAAACGCTATAACGTTTGTTGGTTAATTGTAATATTAAAGTATATTTGCAAATTTATAATAATAATTTCCAGCGAATATTTGGATATATATATATCGATAATAAAGTTTCAACATAGTATAAGGTCGATATATTTGCGTCCTATATTATATTTATATACTTAAGAGGCTATAAGATAATTAAAAGAGATAGATACGTCCTAGCCTTAACTATAAAAATTTGCTAACTATTTACTAAGACTAAAGTTCATTAATACGAAGTATTCTTAGAGTGGGTCAATTAAGTACGATGTTTGTATATTAAGAGTATATACGTAGATAGATAAAATAGAAAATATAGTTTATATAATATTATTTTAAAAAGAAAAATATTTAATTATTTATACTATAGTCTTTATAATAATACTATAATCTACATTAAAATATTACTTTCTAATTTACTTATTTTAATTTTAATCATTTTACTACTTTTCTTTTATTTCTTATATATTTAATTAGATAGCCCTAAAATTATATATTTTTAAATTTTTTTTTTAAAAATTATAATCTTTTTTATTTTTTTCTTTCAAAAATAATTTTAAACTTTTATAATAGTATTATATTATAACTTATTTATTATAATTATTTATATTAATTCGATAATTATAAAGTTTATTTATTATTTTCAATTATTTATAAATATAGTTTTCTATAATTAATATTATATTTATTATAATTTAAAACTATAACCACTTAAGGTATTAGAAGTTACGTAATTATACGCCTTTATAATATACTCTACTTTATTTTAATAAGGCTTAGCGCGCGTATACTATAAAATCCTATACAACCAGCCTACTTTTATACTTTTTTCTTTTTACTTTTTAACTTTAATATTATATTAAGTTGTACTATAACCTCCTTAAGCTAGCTTACTCTCGTAATTGTATACGCCCTTACAATATTAAATAAGTAATATAATATATATATATATATTAGTCTTTTCTAATATAAAATCTTCTTTTAAATACTCTAAAGTGGAAAATTATATAGTATTAAACGTTGCTAAATAAAACTTACAATAAATATATATATATTTATATTTATAAAAATATATTTCTTTTAAATTATTTTCTATTATAGTATTAGTAGGTATTATATTTAATTATATACTTAGAAGGGTATACTCTTCCTATTTTTAATCAAATAAGTTAGTTATTTATACCTTAGTTTATTTAGGGTAGTAAAAATTAATAAAACTGCTTATAAAAAGCATTATACTTTTACTAAGTTTCAACCCTCTCTCCTTCTTACTCCTTCTTATTCTTTAACTTTATTAACTTATTTAAATTAAATTTAATAGCCTAGTCTTACCTATACTTAGAATTGTATTATTATATTTTTTTTAATTTATTTTTATAACTATTACTCTTTATAATAATTCCCTTTTATATTAATTCTATTTAAAGATAATATTATAAAAGTTATAATAACATTTTAATTAATATTCTATTTATATAAAGTTCTATTTTTAAGTATAAAATTGATATAATTAAAACTATTTATATATATATGTATATATATATATATATATAAGGTCTTTTTTCAAAATTAACTTATCCTATTTTATATAAGAGTAAAAGGACTAATTTTATCTGTCAATCTTATAATATTTAAAAGATTTTTATATTATATTGAAATTTAATAAAAGTAAAAATTTTTACTTCTATATAAAAAGGATTTAAAATTTAAGAAAATTTATTATGAAAAAGAATATTTATATATTTTTAAAAATATATAATTATATATAATAAGAATATAAAGACATTTCTTTATTATTAATTTAAAACGAGAAACGTTTTGTTTATACTTATAATATAGTAATATAAAAAAAGGCTAGTATTAAAGGTTTTAATTTCATAATATTTAATGCTATATAGTTTTCCCCTTTAGAAAACTCAAGGAAGAGCTTTATATTTATAAAATACTATAAATATATAATAAGAGAATATAATTATTATTTTCTTTTTAATATAGAAGTATATTTTCTATTTATTTCTTATAAAGTTTTAAAACTAACTAATTAATAGAAACTATATAACTAATTATTAAATAATATTTATATTTATTATTTTACTATATATTTAAATACTATAGTATAAGAACTAAAGAGAAATATATATATATATTATATATACTATATATATTATATATATTATATATATTATTCTTATTAATATTTAATTCTCTAAAATTATTTCCAATTATATTAAAATACTACTTTAGTACAAAGAATAATCATATAAATAAATTGTAGAATATCAATATAAATTTATATTAATAAACGTTAATTACTATTGATAATTCTTCATAAATTCTGATATAAGTATATAAATATTTATAAACATTTCACTATTTGAATTATACAAAATAATATAGGTTAAAATTTTTATAATATATTGTATATAAAAAGTAAGAAATTTCAGCAATATTATAATAATAGAGTATAGAATTATTCGTTTAAATATTATTAAATATATTAATATAAAAGTATAATTACTATTATACTTAAATCTTCTTCTTATTCTTAGGAGTACTGTTAATAGTCTCGCGACGTCTAATAAGTTTATTATTAATAGTACCCTCTATATCCTTCAACTCTATATAAATATATTCTTCTAACTCTACTTTATTCTTCTATATTTTCCAAATGCTATCAGCTATAATAGTTTTTTCCTACTTCTTCTCTAATATTATCTTCTTAAATAAGTACTTAATACCCTAGCCCGTATAGTAATAATAAATATAGGCTCTTCCAAGGAATTTTGTATTAAGTATAATATATTCCAAAGTAGGGTAAAGGGTTTTACTACTATTGTAGCAATTATAAGGTTCGTCCTTAATACTCTTCTTGAAAAGGTATATTGCGAGAGCGTATATTCGAATTATATTATTAATTCTTAGAGTAATAATATACTCGTTCTTATCTTCGAATATTGTTTTTATTTTCCATAAACGGACTACCTCTTATTATTAGTAATAAGGTTAGAAAGCTTTTAATATAAGGTATATAAGAGATATTTACTTAGTTATCTAATAAAATCTACTTCGCAAGACTATATATTCCTTTATTAATTTTTACTAGCAAATATAAAATTTATTATAGTAGGGTTAAAGTATTAAATTGATTAATAAGAGGCGCTAATAGTACTATACCCTTATATTTATAAATATATACTATTATAGTAAAATCTTTGTTAATGTAGAAAGATCTTTGTTAATATAGAGATAATAAGGGTTTAGAAGAATTGTTAATATACGAGCGTTGTATAGTAGGGAGTATTACGCTAGTGAGGAGGTGTGAAAATAATTTGGTGTGTGCGGGGTGTTTGCAAATGCCCTGATACCTGTGCGCAGCTGTATGCACGGACTTTTTTCATTTTGAAACGAACCAAGACAATGGCCCCCGTAGTACCCAGGCACTTGGGTTACAGAGGGATAAAGCGCCCTAAAGTCCAGTGGATTTGATCTTTCTGTCAGCGGATGCTCCAGGCTCTCCCACGTGACACAGCAGGGGACCTGGGGTATCGCAAGAGAATACCTCTAGAGAGGTACCTAGCTGCCCGTAGGTATCGTGATCGACGGTAGGAGCTGTCCGCCGCTGCCCTGGCGCTGACTTGTACTATGTAGAGGTAGCTACAGTTATACTTGGCGGTGGCCGAATCCGCTATAGCAGTTTCCGTCCACTTCTGTTTTGCTTGCGCGACTCTCACTCAAGGTCCGTCAACTTCGTATTGTAACCTCTCGTCTCGTCCCTCGTTCCTTGCATTGACGAATCATCCCCATCGCCTTTTGATTGCGATAATCTCTAAATGTCTCTTGCCGGTTCGAGACTACCTCGTTCCCATCTCGATCCATCCATCCCATGGCCCTACCGAGAAAAGCCGATTCTGCAACTCCACCCGTCACTTCTGCCGATACCGTGACCGTCGCCGGAGCCGGGACCGTTGGACGAGATGCATCGCCGAAACCGGTTCCGAGAGACCGCTCGTCACCCCCGGCGCCACCACCACCACCTTCAGCAGGATCAACGCCACCCAGGATACGGCGAAATACGGCCTGTATTAAATGTCGAGACTCCAAGGTATGAGCATTCTCCGCAATGTATAAATAATCCGTTCCCATCCAACATACATGGCAGCAGCATGGACCTAGGCTGTAATCGACTCAACATCTCCTGCTCTGTTGTTATGTCATGCCTTTCTCTCATCTTGCTCCCACCACCACACGAGACCCCGCTCGATTAGGCTGGCTAACGTTACACATACACTGTACAGGTAAGATGTAATGCAAGTCTTAGTCCGGGACAGCCGTGTCTGCGGTGCACCAAGCTAGACCTCGAGTGTATCGTGGACAAGAACTACAAGAGAGCGTCGAAAAAGAGGTTGGTCACATAAACATCCAGGGTTAGGGTACTCCTAGCCAAGTCAGACTACGGCTAAACTCTTGATAGCAAGCTGGAAGAGTTGGCGGCCGAACTCCAGTCACTCAAGAACACTGTTGCTCCGAGGCCATCACTCGGCGGCCTAACTACCGAACTGCCCCCTATACGTCCGGTTCAGTTCTCGAGCGCGAGTCCGCCAGTCCCTTCACTCCCACAGCTCACCCTACCGGGAACCCTATCCGGCACCTTGCCCGGAGGACTACCGAACCCTGGAACCCTACCCGGGCCGTTTCTTCCTGGTCTCGGTGTTCCAACACTACCGCCTCCCATCTTCACTCGGCCACGGCCCTTCTCCATATCCAGCGAAACCTCTACTCCCACGCCCAGAGCAAGCGATGCCACCTCTGTTAGTTTCAGTCTGGCTGGGCTGAGGCGTCCAGCTGAACCTCGAGCCCTCGGTTCACGCGTGTTCTCCGGAGATGACATAAACTACTATTTCGACAAATACTTTGAGCACTTTCACCCTTACTTCCCCGTCGTTCGCCAACGGGATCCAGACATCTGCTATGAGAGGGGTCACGTACTCTTTTGGGCCATCATCATGACGGCATGCCGTCGATTTGCCAAGGATGACTCGGTATATCAGTTTTTGATGGACTCGCTGTTGCCGGAAATATGGAACGCGATATCACGGCCGCCGCTGAAGCTGCCCATCATCAACGCCTTGCTGCTCGTTGCCACGTGGCCAAATCCCGATATCAGGTTTTTGACTGACCCGTCAATGATCTTTACTGGCATCGCCATGAACTCGGCTCTCTTGATAGGGCTTCACACCGGCCGTGGTGCTCATACAGAGTTTACCGGACTACTCGATAAAGTCGATACAACGGATGAGGAGGCAACGTACACATGGGCCGGGTGTGCCATTATATCTCACCGGCAAGTCAATACTTTACTCCAAGTATGAACTCGTTCTAATTCGTCACATACAGAGCTGCTGCTTATATGGGATGCCCGTCTCCGAGTCTGCTATTCAATCAGACCGTAGACTCACTTCTGGACCGAAGTAGCTCGATATCGATGCCCCGCTACTTCATCTTGCACTTGGAAACCGCCAGGTTCGCCAACAAACTCATCAGCACAATGTCTGCCTCCCTTGAACAGTCCCAGGGTGTTTCGCACCGCTTAGTCGCGCAAATGGAAGAGGAGTATAGTAAAATCCAATGCTTACTGTACCCAGATAACTCAGGTGAGCAACCGTCTTACTCAACTTGTTTTAGGGTATCATTCATTCCTAACACCACAGCGCAGACCTCGACAACTTCATCCTCCTCTCAACCCTCCTCGAAATCCAGACCTACTATTTCATGCCCCTTCCCGGCTACAGCGAAGAGATGCTCAAGCGCAACGTCATCAAATGCTACACCACCGCCGAAGCCATCATCAACCAAGCCCGCTCCCTCCAAAGCCAATCTGCCTTCCTGCACTACTCGCCCAACTTTGTCTTCCGCACCTTGCTCAGCGCCATCTGCGTGTTCATGACGCTGAACCTGTCTCAGCCCCCGTCCCCGTATACGAAAAACCCCAGTAATGCACTTGATGCCTCATACATGGGCGACACCGCCAACACCAATAACAACAGCACCGCCAACAGCACCACTAATACCAATAACCGCAATAGTAGCGGGAACAACATCAAGAACACCGCCAACAACAAGACAACCACCACCTCCACAACCTCCAACGACACAGCCGACCTCTTTGTCCGCGAAGCCCTCCGCATCCTCCGGTGCTGTTCCGTCCAGCGCGACGACCTGGTCATGCGCGCCTCAAACATGGTAGAGAAGTACTGGAACATGCGGCATACTTTGCCGCGGTACGAGACGTTGTTGGACCCCACCGATCCTCATACGAACAGTCCTCGGCATCCCCATAATCAGCAGGACGGGATGCGAGGAGCAACGACGGTGTTTAGAAATCGGCTAGGATCTAGTCTGACGTTTGGTTGTTTGAGGAGGTGGAAGCAGCACGTTGAGAAGGCTTGGGCGAGTGTTGGTGGGATGGGCATGAATCCTCCGGGCCATGGGCAAGGCAGCCACCAGGGACAGCAGGGGGGACAAGGACTGGGTCACAGCCAGCAAGGTCACCAACAAGGTGGGCAAGGTCAACAGGGGCAGCATGGTGCTGGAGTTTATGGCGACAACGGTGGATATGGACAAAGTCAAGGCGGAGGAGGACAATACACAGGTGCTGTTGCGGGTGGGATAAGACAAGGTGATCAACAGGGAATGAATGGGCAGGAGGTGCAGAGTATGCCTGAAGATGGGGGTGGTGAAGGTATTCGTAAGTCCTCTTTTTTCCTTCCTTCCTTTCTTTATTTTTTTTCCTTGCCTTTCTACCAGGTGTCTATTACCAACAATCTTCAGTGGCTATGCTAACTCTTTCTACTTAGCAGATGGAAGACTGGGAAACAACAATCCTCAGGAATCTTCTCTTGGTGGATTGGCAGACCCCTTTCAACGGCTCGAATGGAATGCGTTTATGGACGACTTTGACTGGAGCTTTACCTCTAATTACTTGGGTGTTGGTCCTATATAGTAGAATTGAATTGGAATGGGGATTTGGACTAGGATCGCATGAAAGGGTACATAGGCAGGTTTGTAAAATGGGACAGTATAGTGAAAAACTTGTCGATAGCAAGCTCATATTTTTGAACTCGTTGTCGAGGTTTGTCGTTAAATGTGCGCACATAGAGGTGTGTATGTTGTAGTTGTATAGGGATTTGCCTTTCTCATCTTGCCACTGTAAAGTGGAAGGTCGAACGGGAATCAAAAGGCAGCAACTTTACTCGCTTATCACAACTCGATTTTATTTCACTGTCATGCCGTCCATATGTGTTCTCTAAAATCCAAGGCTGACCTAAGTCCCTCTAGAGTCCACAGGTTTTCGCTGTCGACGTACCATTCTTACTGAAACCGAAGCTTTGTACGCCTATTGAACCCTTATGAGGATCACGATACGAACTATATCGAATCAACAGCCACATATTCTGCGCGAGTCAAGGTTATCCACGAACTTTAAATTGCCTTCAGGGCAAAAAAAATACTGTCATTAACCTTCGCTGTTCCAATCTCACGGGTGCAAGGTTTGCTTGCTTCCCTGACTCCCCAGGTGACAGGGTCCATGATTTTGTCAGTTTTGAAAATTTTCAACGCTCAAACCGTGTGGGATAGGCTGCCCCCGACAGATTCGGGCATGATTGTTCGTTGATGAACAATTTTTCCATTTGGAATAGAAGATTTGGTTAAATGGTATTTGAGTGTCATCATCAGTACTCTTCGGACATCCATCTGGTTTTCCCATCTTCCTCGTACAATAGCCTAACCTTTATCGATTTTTGTGTCGTGGGAAGTGGTCTCACACGAGAGAACATACCTACCTTTGTGCACACTTCCGGGGAAAAGGTTACCCAACGTTTGGAAATCGAATTTCACACTTTACGAATCCCCAGCTTGTGCCTGTCTACAATTGTGGACGTTACCTTGTGTCGCCAGGGCACAGACAGGGTAGAAGCCAACCAGTCTGGATTTACTTAGTCAGAGCCTGGATACCACTGATTCATGTCAACCTTGAAGGCAAGAAACGGCCACTACACTTACTCCATCTACAAAGCAAGAAGGCACTGGAAGAGCTGGTGTGGTCTATGATTGCACGCAATATTGTTCGATGTTTGAACAGCGTGGGATCAAGGGTACCGTTGATGACGGCACATCTTCGGGATAATGATCATGTCTTTGTCTATCTTCAACCGTTGTTTAGCCCAGTCCAAACCACCTTGGCAAGACAGAACCCTCTGTGTCTTTTCCGCATGTTGTCAAGGGTGAAGATATTGCCCGCGCCGCGGAAATTTCTTGTCGACAGCGTCGAGAGCTTGACATACTCTTCCATTCAGAGAAATGATAAAAGTAACGACATGTCTTCCATAGGAGACTCCAAGAAGCTTTCCAAATATCGAAAATTTCGGATGACCAAAGAAAGCAACAGTAAAAGGCAATACTCTCCATTGGGCCGAAAACAAGGGAACCAGGCCACGTCGGTAACTATAGGCTACATGGTTTCCCATTTGAGGGAGAGGATGCGACGGGCATGAGAGAACACGGAGCACAATATTGGGGTTAGTCAGGTTGTTTCTCGGATGTCCGCTTAGCATGTTGCCACTGAGCCACCACACTGTCGTACCCTTGAGTCGGTCGAGAACCATGTTCAGCAGGGGGAGGTCATCTCTGTTCCATCACCATAGTGGTAACTACCGGGCGGAGAGCGATCGAGCTGCTGGGATACCCTCCGTTTCAGATAGTCGATCCCGTCTCCCTTGGCTTGTATGATCGTCTTCAGGTTTGTATAAAACATGAGGCGGGTATTCGTCAATGGTGACACACAGAGCAAGTCTTCGTTAAGGGTCATGACAAGTGGCGCATAAACCTCTGGTGGTGGTGTTGGGCAAGACACTTGACGCCTACTTGTCGGTACATATACACCACTTGACTAGTGGCAGATGACCTTGAAGTCATGAATCGAATACCGGTTCTCCAGTAATGGAAGTCTAATGAACAACAATCCACTTGGATAACCAGTCTGCACCGTGGGTAACTGTGATTTTGCTATTCGCTGCTTGCCATCTTGGCACACCCGCAAGGACGTTGCATACATGAGTCGAAGAACTCGTACAGATCCTCGTAGTCTCTCACACGGTCGTAAATACGTCAAAGTAACCTTGTGTTTAGTGCGGATGACCTATGTTTCATCCCTTGGTGCGGTCAACCAACATTGCTGTCCCCGGGTCCCAGGGTGATGAGCCAAGATAAGAGACGACCTGACCGCAAAACGTACGGCCTCTTCCATACATCATTGTAAAAGTGGTTATATCCGGATATCGTGCGGCTCGTAGAATGATGTTGAGATGGTGTCGTCAAGCTGATTTGGGGGCGACCTCTGGTGCAGCTGAATGCATCACCAGACCCCAGACAAAAGGGACAATTGGAATCAACCTAAACCCGTCACTTATTCATGGCTTCTCTTGGTCAAACCGAGATGTGTACGCTCGACACTCTGTTCGATTGATGATTTGTCTGGTGCACGAACATTCCCAGTGCCGTGCTAGCGGATCGCCCTGGGTACGGGACCTTTGACCCCGTAGCCAATGACAAACCTGAGCCTCGCTCTTCCGCACGGACATTTGATCTTGTCGATGGCACGTCTCCTGGCCCTTTTTTGGTCAGCCGAGCCGATGACCAGCATATCGGCACCTCGGGATATTCCCAAAGTTGAAATACTTGATGGCCAAAAGTGCTGTGGAGTTCCGAATGAGGTCCGACCTCATGGGTTGGCAATGCAGTGTTGTTGTATCATCGGAAAGCACCACTGCCTGACCAGTGTGCTCGACTAATCCCAGACCATGTCATTCGTCCACAAACACACGGACGTGGAAAGCCGTACGACATTGACTTGACCCGGAAATGGTCCAGGTCTCTCTGATCCTGGCTTTGTCGGTCTCTTTTTCATCCTTGCGAGGTTGTTGTTTCTCGGAAAGCAGCCGTATAATTTCGGACTTTTACCCACATGTCGATGTCGTGGAGCTTGCAAGGAACGTCGTAGCCGATGTGACCCCCTTTTCTCGCCTGCCTTTTCCTTCTCTGGCTTCCATCTCGCCGGCGGTGGTCCGCTTGACCGTTTTCTGCTTTCCGAGGACACCTTACGTAATACGATCATGATTCTGGAAAGAAGCTGTGACGGCCTTTTTTGTTTCATCTCCTCTGTTCCTGGCCCCTGAAAGCTGGATCAAGCTCACCAAGACAAAATCCCCACAGTGGGCCCAAAGGGCGCTTGTTTCACACCATCGACTCCCAGGTTGCATCTAACCTGGGTTTGGTAATTTCTCCTCCTCGAGTTGGGCGCACAAGCACGCTGCTGAGTCCGAGCGCAGAGTGATAATGTTTGTCTGGTGGTGGACATGGCAACACTAGACTAAACCAGCCTCCAAGTCCTGCAGGACAGTCTGTGTGAAATCGGTAAAATCAGCGGAAATGCCGGTTCCTGCGTCCCCTAATGATTCTGCAATGTTAGCGTGCATATTTGCGGGGTCATGTTGCATTGTGCCCCTTTTTCGTCTCTGGGGACTTGTTCTCTTCTGGACACGCGATGGCATGCTAGAACATGCCTCAATTCATGCGATATGGACGCAGGCACCACAGGCACGGCAGGTACGCAGACAGAGCAGACAGGGTTCGCCAGGACCAACATAGATCCGATTGGCCGTCGTGGTGGACGGGGAGACGTGGGGGACAACTGGAGGTTGCCCTGGATGCTGTCCCGGCTGACGTTGCAGAGGTGCGCTTCTTGCGACCGAAGAGCCTCTGTTTCAAGATCTGAGCTCCCGCTTCGTCGACCTCACCGGCGTTATTGTTTCTGTTTCAGGACCTGCCTTGGCACCTGCTATCACGTACCGTGCGCTTCGCTGGAACGCCGTCCAGATCAACCATGTTCTTGAACATGATCTCCCTAGGACGAAGGTAAGACAGATGAGGAGCAAGTGAGAAGTGAGAAAGCGGACTGAGGGGAATGATCCGAACAAAAGTGCCGAAGCGATATCCAGGTGATGCTGACATTGGCTGGTCGAGGAATGACATTGTTGACCTGCTGAGGCAAGAGATCAGAAAGCAATCCAGTTCGGCATCCAGGGAGAGACTCCGCGCTGTCGTCGTGATCGATGTGTCCAAGACAAAGTCTGAAGACCAAACGGACTCACATTCCATTTCCTTCCTTTCCTCCGATTCTTGATTGATGGCTCCTCATTCTTTTTGCTGAGTGTGGCAGGGAAGGAGCTTCCTAACGTGTACTTCGTTGCAAACGAAACACTCTTCGACCCTCAGCTACTTTCTGCGGTACACCTGGAAGGCTTTGCCGGTGTTGCATTACCTAGAGGTAGGTACATACCTTATCTGCCACTTGCTCCTTCCATGTCTGCTGTAGGTGAGAGTGACGGTTAAGAACGGAACTTACCTTCCTTCCACTTGGGCCAGTGACATTTTGCTGCCTGCCCCCCTGTTGTCAGTTTGTTCCCATGCTGAACCCGCTTTAAACTTGGAGGGACGTCATTGCGCCAAAGGCACCTCGTAGGCCGCCCGTTCGATCCCGTCCCAAATCCAACATCAACACCTCCATAATACGCATCGTGATGTTTTGTGGACTTTCAGAACCAGCCACATCATTGAGTACAATAGATTCAAAATAATTTGACGCCTCAGTAGCTTGCTGTTCCCCTCTTCGCGCGGGGTATGTCATGTCAATGTGCCACTAAATCCACCAGATTGTACAGATCCCGTTCTGCATAACTGTAGATCCGCCCGGTACCTGCATCTGGCTGCACTAATCCCGCTTTTTTGCCGCTGGCATGGCCGAATCACAACCGTCACCAGAGACTCACAGCCAACAGATTGACGTGCGGCGCAAAACCACCAGCGGTTTTTTTTTTCTTTCCCCTCTTTGTGCTGGGCCTTCGTTCTCTGCAGGAGCACTGGGGCCTGCGACCGCTTTTGTCGGCCCCCTCAAAGTATGTGATGCTATTCTTGGACTTTGAGACGTAGTCACCCGGCGACTGGCCGTAGAGGGAAACCAACAACCGAGGCCCCAGATGCCACTGTTTACTGCGTTTATGGTAGTGTCACCATCGAAGAGACTATATCTCTGAAACGTCCTAGCAACCAAAGCTTGGCTTGCAGGGTGTCTCAACCTTAAGTCGTAGACGGGAAGCCCGCAACATAACTGCGCGTGACCTGGGAAGACGGCACTTGATAGTGTTTCTCCTGAATATTGTCAATATCGTCAGTGGGTATTCTGGCGAATGACAAATCGTACCGTTGGCTAGCTGCGCCCTGAAAAGGGCCATACAGTATTGCTCAGATAGGCGTGCCATAGATATTCTGATACAGGCACTCTCGTGTTTCGGAATATGTTGGTCATCACATCGTGGAGATCCGTCCAAACAGCAAGGGCACATCCCCCACTCCTCCCTACAGTAGGCCTAGCGGTTCCATCCTATCCGTGGCCATCGGCTGCCGGCCCGTAGTCAGGTCCCGAGAAGCTCAGACCTAGCCGGGCAGAGCTTTGTTCCCAGGTCATGGTGTCGGCATAGCTCTTATGCATTGTACGAAGGAGAGCATCAGCAGCCAGGTTCGTTTGCCTGACACTTTTGGGGAAAAAATATAAAAAAAAATTGAATGGGGTACTGGCAGAGTCTAGACAGAAGAAATCAACTTGATCTCTTACTCTGACGGTTGAGTTGGTTTGGGAACGGGCGACTAGGTTTTCAGCTGGGTGCCTGGCTTGCATTCTTGCCTGACCCAGCATTGTCGGTTAACCCACTTGCAGTCCAGATGAGAGGAAGGGTGTAAGTTGATCAAATCGAAAAATCTCCATCCAGCACTTCCCACCTCTTTAGTGGGGTTTACCAGCTGCGCAATGACACCAGTCATTCCTGGTGATCCGAGGCTCTTAAGAGGAAAACACCCTAATGGGAGATCAAAAGCACCGCCCCAAATATCACCCAGATCGCATCTCCTGTGCAGTCTACTGACTGGCCGAGGGCGGAAAGGGTGCGGTTCATGGTTGCGCCCGAGGTGCGCTCGTCGACTTCTCAGTGAGCGCATGGGACGCTTGCTGGACGCTGTGCCGGGAAAAATTGGAACTTGGCGCCGACAAAAAGTCAGACCCCTGCTTGCCCTTCTCCCCCAGAGCTATTTCTGAAGCATGTTTCAGACTTTTGACTGGGTGGCATGGGCAGCATGGCTGGGATCACTGTTCAGCACGACCCCTCTGCAATGGTCGAAGACACTTCGCGGCAACACTATTATTGGCCTGAGCAAACCTTGGATTCTGGACATCCACCCAACACAGGAGAGCAATGACGAGATCCAGTCAGGCCGTTGAAGTGCCTAGAAGCCTAAAGCGCATGTTCTTTTCTTTTTCTTTTCTTTTTTCTTTTCTTTTCTTAGGTTTTGGGTTGTGGGAGATGACCTCAGTATGTAGTACCGTAAGACTCGTCACGGTATGAGAACCAGACTGAGCTCAGTGTGCGGTGGTAGCAGAGAGTAACAAGCTAAGAAGTTGAACGATATCGTCCCATGGCGAATCCAGTGCAACAATTGGAAAAGCGTGAATAGAGACATTCGATGAACATGGAGGTAGGTCTTAGACAGACCGAGGAGGACACAGAGGGAGAAGAGAACCGAATCCAATATCATGATTCCCTCTGCTCTGTGCGACGCCAAGTGCCTGCGCCGCTCGAGCACTTTGCCGCTTGGGTGCTTCCAGATTGAACGAGGCCACCGAATTCGCCTCCTAACCAGGAACTGAGTGGTTGTGTCGACTGTGTTGCCATATCAATCAGCCGCGGACACGCAACGTACGAGTCGTCGGGAGCCTGTGGTTCAGTTCGTTACTTCCAAGTGTCGGGCTGGTTGCATACAACGGACAACTTTCGGTTTTGGTGTAAAAAGACGGAGTTTGAGAGGTGATGTCGTTCTGGTTTTCCTTGGATACCCGTATCTTGGTACATATGCTGTAGGCAGTGAGAAATGCTATGCACTTTCCCACTGGGTACTTCTACACTAGCAGGTGCTTAGACGCACTTGCATGCACAGCAGACACCACGTTCCTGCCCGGGCCCGTCCATCGACCCGCTTACAACCCTTTGGGATTCAAAAGATCGAAAGAGATCGATGGAGAAGTGCACGACTCTCCGAGATGATCATATCGTACGTTGTTCGCGAATCTCCACCTTCCTGCCGATGGATAGCAATCAGAAAAGAGCCGAACCGCGGAAGCTTTCATGCCCCGATCGAGATTTCGCGCTCCGGAGTCGAACGAAAGCTACCCCTGGGCCGGCAAAGATCCAGATCCCAACGTCCAGCCCCACCCATACCTCTATCCGGCATTGAGGTGGCCCGTGCTGTTGATGGCCATTAGCACATTCGGCACTGTCCAGATAGCTTCAATCCCATCGATTGAAACCACATCAAGTGTCCGTACATGACGACACTGCCCGTCGTTGAAAGTGTCAAATGATTGCAACTTTCTGCATTGCTCTGGTTATCTACTCTGTTTTGCGCTCATTCGGACAGCCCGAATGTTTTTCTGCGATGATTTGAAGTCCGACAAATGATACCCTGCTCTCCATGCCAACAGATAAAACAGCAATGCCTATGCGTACTGTGGCATTGTAAGATCCTTGGTACTTAGCACATGGTTCGGAGGGGGTCCTATAAGATGCCTGCCGTACCCTCAACTCATTTCCGAGAACGCGGAAATTGTGGTGGTTCACGAACATGGAAGAGAGAACTTCCCCTGAGGAATCCTCGGGTATGTTTGCCCTCCAATCAGTTTGCACTTGATTCGAAAGACTGGATCACTACTCCGGAAACTTTGTAGACAAACGCGTAAATAAGCTGCGACGAGCCTATAACTAGACAAGTATAACCAGAACTAGTCTTGCAAACGGAATGACCTTTTAGTTATTCGCATCTCTGTTCACCATGTAATCACGATATTCTCACTAGCTTCCTTTTCCTCTCATCAGAGTATCGTAGACGGGCATACTTAGAGATAGCAGATCAGATGGAGAAACCAAATACAATTTTTCACGCCATGCAGCGGGTAAGGCACTCGTCATCTAAACTATCATTGAGCGGTTCATGCCATATAACCAACAGCAACAACGCAACTTCGTTAAAGCGTCGTCTTTTGCTCCAACTGTAAATGTCTTTAAGCCTTCGTAGTATGTGTCATAATTAATATACTACGCCACTGTTTGCTCTATTCAAGCGTACGCCGTCGGGTGCCGAAGCTGGAGGCTGTTGCCCAGAGCTCTTTGGGCCGAGTCATAAGAGAGAGTCCAGGTTTAGCTCGAAGAGATTCACGTAGGAACAGCACTTAAACAGCCGGTATGGCGGGAAACGGAAAGAAAAGCAGAAAGACAACGGTCCGGTTCAGGCATGCTCATCCCAGCTTGCACCCTGGCGGGCACAAGTAGTGTACGTACTCTCAGGGACAGCCTATCAACAGAGTCGTTTTTTGTGGCTTAATATCCACTCCGGTTAATGCAGCGCTGCTTTAATAAATTCACACCGTAAGACCAGATCATGTCTCTATAGTCACACTCTCCCGCAGCTGCCACCAGAATAACCCACGGACCTTGTCGCGGTTCCGGTCCCTTCGTCCTCCAAGGTGACGATGGATGTGAACCGAAAGTTGCCATCGACCGCCCTCCACTTCAGAGCCTTCTGCTCGAGTGCAGATACGTATAGGTGAGTAGTGATAAATTTGCCGTGCAAAAACTCTGACGTCTACCCCTCCGCTAGGTTCCCCCTCATATCGCGCGCGATATACCTCTAGACACTCGCCATGTTGACCAGGAATGAGTTGTTCCGCGCTTGGACCATGGTGTAGACTACTGGATGTTGGATTCCATTCTGGTACCTTGCCTGAATGTACCTACCATCTCGCTGTAGCTGTGGGCGTTGACAGGTTGGGCCCTTGTCTCCACGCCTCGACGGGTCATTCCTTCCTGTCTGTGCCATACAGGCATCTCATGGCTGATGCCGCGCCATGATAGAACTTGACCCATCCGTCAGTTTCCACGATGCTTCGCACCAACTGCGAGCCCAAGACACTCTTTCGACGCAGTGACAGACAAGATGAATACCTCCATCTAGAGGCCCGTTCTGTCGTCGGGTATCTGTGATTAGGTTGTATTTATTGCCGCATGCCCCAACCGTCGCCTATTGCTGTTAGTGCTGCAACCCGGGCTCATAGCATGGGCAGCTTCGATAGGCTACAACCCTTTTCTGAGCAAAGCATAGCACAGCGAGCCACAGCAATTAGCAGCCATTAGTATCCATCCACTCAGATAGCGCACCCTGGTCTGGCCTTCCCACTCTGGTTGGAGACTTGGACCCCAAGCGAGAGAAAATCATTAAACCCCGTTGTTCGCCCATTCTCCCCCTCTTTGCTCTCCTTCTAGTCGACCACTTTTCTCTTGACAAGTTCCTCTCTTTTCCTTTTCAAGACTTCTCCTTCTCCAACCCTCTTTTTCCCCCCTTTCTGTTTCTGTTGCAGGCGGACCTTCCTACTTCGCACGGCCCTTTCCCCTGCATTACCAGGCACTACCGAGTAGACCTGTCTTGGAGCTGGCTAGCTGCGCACGCACTTTCCCCAAGACGCTCTCTCCTTTTCCCACCCACGAAGCATCGATTCACAAGTCGACCATCCTCCCAAGTTCCCACCAGGGGCCGCCCGCACATACCGCACCCAATCTCCATAACAGCAGCCCCCTCCGCTCGCCGCCGTCCCGTCGCTCCCCCACACATCCTTGGAAAGACCGTCCGTACTCATTCCTTGGGTCAGCACTGTTGCAGTCTAAGCGACCAGACTTTGCCTCTTTCCTCTATCCACCGCCATCACCACCACCACCACCACTACCACACGGAGGAAGCTCAACGTCCCGCTGTTTGATCATCCGGCCATCCTTGGGAGAATCCTGTTGATTGGTTTCGTTTTCGTTCGCACCACCACTGCAAGGAATAAGAAGAAGGGAAACTGTGAGGCTTAATTCACTTCAACCATCACCAATTGTTTCTTGTTCCGTCATTCGACGGTCAGGTCTCCGGCATTTAGGCCCGGCACGCACCCGACTTTCTCACCACGCACCCCGCATATTACCTCCTCCCCCACCGGCCGACCACGACGTCGCCCAACGGCTTACTCGAACAACAACCCCGTCGCGGCTGCTCCCGGCGTGCATTGTCGACGACAACCAAAACCTGCGCACTCCCGCGTGGACGATACATTGTACAAGCAGGTCGGAAACGCCTTTCCCGTCAGTACCCTAGCTGGTTCTGGTTATCTTTTCGCCCTTCTACTACTACATACACTGCCCTCGAGGCCGACAGTCGAGAGGTCTCGCACCTTGATATCATTCGCTTGAGGCGCTTGGGTTGAAGCACATACATTGCATCCTTCCACTGTATCGCGGGCTGGTCTCGGATCACGAAAACGCAAAGGACAAAGACACGACGACGCATACACACGAGAAAGACGATTTCTTACGAGTCGCTTTTCTCCCCCAAAGAAACATACATAGATATACAGAGGCAGCGCCTCCCATTCCCGCTTTCGCACCCCACGACAATCGCTTCATTTGGCGATAGTCTTGCCTCGCCGCCCTTCTGCTCTCTTTGGGTCGCGTTGACGCCACCCACTGCACTATCTATATCACTCCTCGCTTGTGCCACAAGCGACTGCAGATCGAGACATTGTCGTCGGTCCATCGCAACATATAATCACAGACTTCCCGTGAACTACGACGGCACTCGCCGCGACATTCGATTATCAAGGAGGTTTTTGAGCTTGGAATGTATTCTTCGCAGCATGCCAATATGGCTGCCGCTTCGCAAAAACCCGAGACCTTCATGCTGAGCACTGAGGCCCAGCAAGCTCTTCCACATGATGCCCAGGTAGCTCTGCAGCAGGTTGACAACCGTACGTACATGCCATTGGCTCCCCCGATATGCGTGCTTTGCTAACGCCAGCTTTCCTCGCCAATTAGTCAAGTATTTCCTCATTTCCGCGCCCGTCGACTGGCAACCAGACCAATACATCCGGAGGTTCCTTCTACCCACTGGCGAGTATGTGTCTTGTGTGCTATGGAACAACCTCTTCCACATCTCCGGTACCGACATTGTGAGATGTCTGTCGTTCCGATTCCAGGCCTTCGGCCGTCCCGTGAAGAACTCGAAGAAGTTTGAGGAAGGTATCTTCTCGGACTTGCGCAATCTGAAGGCGGGAAGCGATGCCTCCCTCGAGGAGCCCAAGAGCCCTTTCTTGGACTTCCTGTACAAGAATAACTGCATCCGAACGCAGAAGAAGCAAAAGGTGTTCTTCTGGTACAGTGTGCCCCACGACAGGCTCTTCCTTGATGCGCTCGAGAGAGACCTCAAGAGAGAGAAGATGGGCCAGGAAGCGACAACAGTTGCCGTTAGCGAGCCTGCCTTGTCCTTCCAGTACGATTCTTCTCAGTCGCTCTTCGAGTCTCTTACCAAGGCCCAGCAGGCCAACTCGTCCTCTTTTCCGGCCCAGCAACTCGCCTTTCAGTCCCAGTCCACCTCGCCCATCTTGCGCGCCGCCGACTCGATGCCTCCCCCTCAAATGATGCAGCCGATGCCATCGCAGATGATGCAGCCAATGGGGCAGAACATGGGACAGCAAATGTCTCAAACCATGTCCCAGTCAATGGCCCCTTTGTCCGATGGTCTGGAGGCCATGGTCTCTTACGGAGCGATGACCATGGGACCCGCGATGACCTGCCCTCAGCCAATGGTCAAGCGGGAACCCGATTATGGTCGTGTTCAGTATACCCAGAATGGTGTGCCCATCACGCAGGTACACCAGCGACACACTTCCATGCCTGCGTATGGCTTGGAGTGCTCGCCTGCCCCATCGTTCGTCTCGTCGCATTTTGAGGACTATAGCCAGAGAGGACTCTCCTTTGAGCCCTTGACGCCTCCTCACCAGCAAATGGGCGTCATCGGCGAGCCCGCTTATATCGCCAATGAGGAGACCGGTCTCTATACTGCCATTCCCGATCACCTTAACGCTGGTGCCCTCAATGGCATGATGCAGCTTCCGCCATCCAACCTCGCGGCCCCATCATACCCCCGCTCGTACGCGTCTAGCAGCATATCTCAAGACCATGCCAGAGGGTACTCTCCCATGGCCGCCTACACAGTCATCGAGGGGTCACCCACATATAAGCAGAGGAGGAGGCGCTCTTCCATTCCCCCATCAGTTCTGTCTGCCACGACAGCAATTGCCGCGGGTACTCCTGGGTTGTACAAGCCCTCGGATCTGCGGAGGTCCGTGTCTGCCTCTGTCGGTGCCGTGGCCGAGGGTGATGAGTCTGCGGACAACTCTCCCCCTGGGTTGACGTACAGCAACCCTGCCATCAACATGGCCCGCCAGCAGCACCACGAGATGCTCGAGCTTTCGAGGCACGGTACTCCCCTGTCCACCGTCGAGGGCAGCCCTGCGCTCAACCCCATGAATATATCCATGGGTCAGAGCTACGGCCCCCTCAACGATGACGAACTTGTTCCCATGAGCGAGCGACAGATGTCCCAGGGCCACCCCGGCGTAATCCGTCGCGCGCGTTCTGCCACGGTTTCGGAGCTTGGTCCTTATCCTCAGAAGTCGCACTCTTGCCCCATTCCCTCATGCGGTCGTGTCTTCAAGCGTTTGGAGCACCTTAAGAGGTAAGAATGAATAGTTATAGCCCTTTTGATGTCCCATCCTCTTATTGCAATGCTAACCTTTCGACTTTCTTTCCAATCAGACATGTAAGAACACATACACAAGAGAGACCTTACGTCTGTTCATACTGCCAGAAGGCCTTCTCCCGATCAGATAACCTAGCACAGTATGCATTCCCCCTTCCAATTTACCGTACTCCTCAGCACACATCAGTTGCTCATGAGGGACGCATGTCGACATTGATACTGACCGGTATTTCTTTAGGCACAAGCGTACACACGATCGCGGCGACGGTTCTGAGGGTACTTCGAACCTCTCTGGAGAGGAGGAAGAGGAGTACTCTTCGCCAACATCTGAGGGTGGCTACGTCCACGCCTCAGGAGCACCCAGCAATGGCAACAGCTCAACACCCCAGTCAACCATGTACAACAACCTCCAGACTTTGAGCATGCCCATGACAATAAGCGAGCCCCAGCCGATTAACACAGGCGAGATGATGCGAAACGAGCTAGATTTTTAGGATTTGAGCAGTTTTCTGGGCAAGAACTGACTATGTATGTGTGTTGTTTGTACAATCAAAACCACCGGTGGTCATGACGGAGCGTTTCATGTTTGGCTTTGGTCTGTTTTTGTTATATATCCGGATGGGCTTGGGGGATTAGGTCTGTCAACATCACGGCTTATGAATCTACCTTGTGTCAATAAAGGCGTAAGACTAGATTTTCTCATTTATTACTTCTTGTTTCTCTGGTCGGATGGCTATCCATGATCAAAGTGGGAAGGGGTCCTTTGCAGGTTCAGTAGAAAAACCTCAACAAAGACCTTGCATTTTGTTGTCATTTTATTATTCCAACCTTTGTCTCGATTGAGACTTTTCACTTTTTGTTTTTATTTCCCTTTGTGTCATGCCTCTTAGTCATGAGAAACATGACACTTGGAAACATGAATATGAACGAACATTTGTTGTCCGCATGCTTGACCGCTTATTTAGGCGTGATGTATTTTATGAAAGGACGAACTCGATACCTGTCGTGATAGAGGCTTGGTAGAAATAAGCGAGCTCACCTTCGGGCCGCGCTGCAGAGAGCTGAGTTCATGGATAGCTTGTCGCTTCTCGAACAATACGTCGAAGAGAAAGCAAAATTTCTGGAGGCTATACAATAGGTTGAGGGTATGGAGAGCATCACCCATCAGACAATGGACACGGTACACCGGCGGGACGGGCCGAAACGTGTGTGCTGTGCTGGTGTTTCTTTTGTGCTAAGTTGGACGGGCATGGGCGGGTGGAAGATGGGATAAAGAGCTGCAGTGAAGTACGCATGTGAAAGGTACGTGACGGAAGACGGTACGACGGGGGTTGAGCAACAGTACTATAAATGGTTACAAAGTGGTAACTAGTTCTCTGGAAGCTGTTAGTGATGTATATGTTGAGGGTTAGTACTCGGTTGAGGATGTATCGGTAATCCAGGTTCGCATAAGAGCCCTCTGTTGTGCGTCGGTTCATTGTCGAGGTCTCAACCGTGTCTACCATATCCAACCGACGAATATCAACACTCGAACTGACATCTTCAGATGATATGTTCATTGTTGTCCCAATTTACACGACAAATTGATATTCTTGACGATTTTCCAATGTTGACGATGGTTTTACGTCGGAATACATCCAATCAAGGAAGAGCATAAAGATAAAGAATATCGGGGGGCACGAGCATATATGTCCGTCAAACCAATGCCGGACACTCAAATACAGCTTAACAACCGCGCCCGATGCTGCGCTCAAATTCCTGGTATACCATTTGCATATGCAGCTCATGCTGCAGAAAATTATTCTTCGGATCATGCACACCGACCTTCGCTTGAATGGGGATGTGTACATATGTCCGCTTGAATATTCTTTCCTCCGCAAGCCCGCATCTGCATCTATCTAATATTCGACCAACGCATAGCTTTCAAGTTTCTCCTTGTAAGTATATTTTTCTACTTAAGGAGTGTTGTAACCTTTTGTCTTCCTCTCTTACCTTCCCCTTTGCAAAAACAAATAAAACCAGGACCAGAACAATTTGGAATTCCATCGTGTAAGTATATGTGTGTCCAATCAACAAAGAGCTGAACCTTAACTGACTCCCTCATTACCTAAAAGTTTCTCAACCTGCTCCAGCAATAACCATCAATACCGGCATCACCAACCGCACCGTTATCGCCACGGCAAAAATGCCCTTCATACGCCCCGTCGAGATCCGCTTCTTCCCCCGCCTTCCCCGAGTCTCCCCTTGTTTCATCCTCTGGGGTTTCTTATTCTCAGTTTTGTTGACTACCTCTCTAGTCTCCTTATTTTTTCCCTTCCTCTTTGAATGTGTCACTACTCCCAACAACACCCAGGATGACATCAAGCCCTCTGAAGGACCCGAATTCGACGAATTCGACCGCATCGCCCACATCGCCGCCGGTAACGAAATCGCTGATCCCATTAATTTCGCCCACGTCCAGCACAGCCATGTCCTTGCCTCCCCTACTATCGCTGCATCGTCGACGACGACTTCCACTTCCACCTCGGCACTCAAAGCCCTCATCACCCGCTTGCCCCGCTCCCCACGGGCCCTCCTCCACCGCCGCCAAAACCCCGAAGACCGCCTCGACGAGGACGGCTTTCCGCATTTCGGCGACGACGTCGCTGAATCTCGGATCTCCAAGAACGTCAACGTTTACGGCCAACCGATCCAGACGGTACGTCTAGACGACGTCCGCCCGTTTCCCATGGGCACAGAGAATGAGATCCCGGGAGTGTTTGCGGCTTGTGCGCAACCTTGCATGAAAAAGGCCGTGGAGCTGAACACAGATTGCGAAGATCCGCTGGATCTGGAGTGCACGTGCCGGCCCGAGGTGAGGGCGGTGATTGAGGCGGCGAGTGATGAGTGTTGTTGGCAGGCTTGTGATGATGGGACGCCGGAGCCTTAGTGAGTTGTTCTTTTCTCTCTCTCTCCCCCCCTTTTTTTTCTTCCTCTCTTACAGATTCTTTTCTTCTTCCTCTTCTCTTTTTCTTTACCCTTTCTCTCTCTCTCTTCCTCTTTATTTTTTCTTTCTTTCTAGCAGTCATGATATCGTGAACGTGGAACTAACCCACGTTAACAGCTGGCGCCCATGCTGGCACGAAGAAGATCCGTTGCATTATTAAATTGGCCTGTCGTGGTCTCCAAATCCATCGTCGTCGTCGTCGTCCTGTTCAAGACTCTCTCGTACTCAAAGAAAAGAAGACTGCCCGTCAACGAACGATCAAAACAACACAGACGACGAAGAACCACGACCGCAGTAGAACTTGATGAGGTGACAACCTAACCTTACCATTTCCCCCCTTTTTTTCCTTTATTAGCTTCAAATCCCCAACATAGGAGGAAATACACACACCTCATGAAGAAACCTTGTCACAGTTCCAGATTGCCACTTCGAAACAAGGAGAGATGGAAACGTAGATAAATTGAAAGGAAGGCAAAACAAACGACCAGAGACCAAAAAACAATCTCAGACTCTCAAATAAAGAGTATATAAAAGAGTATATATACATACCATCGCTATCAAGAAGCTGGCCATGATGTTAACTACTCTGGTACAACATAGGGAGACATACAACAACTTCTCCGGTCCGGCGAGCCAGCCAGCAAGATCCTGACGATGATGGTATTTGTACAAGAGGTTGGAGGGTACGTCTGGTGTGTACACGAATAGTTTGGAGGACACTACGTATCTGGACGTCGTGTTTGGAACTAGGCCAAACGGAACTGATGATGTGGATTGGAAAGGTACACGGGACGTGTTATGGTACGGGTTGGTTTGATTCTGGTTATGTTATGTGGGATGGCAAGGTAGAGGAAATGTAATTTGGAATGATCAGAGCAAGTACCATCAGCTCGCTTGCCTACTCTAGTGTCAAGGGAACAAGAAATAACCATCATGTTGTGCAAATGGATTACAATATATACGGGTCGGCCAGTCAGTATACTTTTACGTCTACTGTTTCGATACCATCATGATTGTTATCCTCAAGGTGCTGTGAACGTACAATGTGTTTTCCTAGAAAATCTCTCCAATCATACATCCATCTGGATCAGGTCGAACAGAGAGGACATGGACTTCAAGTTATATTCAACGAGCAGTCCCTCTCATACCACGACGGACAAAATGCACTGGAAGTAAACATTCGAATATATAATATAAAGCGGTCAAAGCCCAAAGGCTGTTCCTACGTAATCGTAAGAATTACGCAAAAAATAAAGAACTTGATCTTTTGAAAACTTTTCAGCCAATTCGCTTTTCCCTTCCTTCCCTACTTTTTCCTTGTTTTTTCTTCTTCCTTTTGTCCATCCATCACCACCTCACAACCCCACAAACACCATCGCACCACTCACCAACAACCCCCAAGCCATTCCCATACCCACATTCAACTCACCCGCCGCCCCATTCACATATATCCCCCCTTCAGAACCAGTAAGCCCGCTCGTGGCCTCCACAGGATTTTCCACAGCCTTCGCGCCCGGCACCCCCCCTTTGCCCTTCTTAATCTCCTTCAGGTCCGTCGCCGTGGCATTAAACCTCGTCTGCGCCATCGAGATCTCGTTGTTGTCCAAATCAAACACAACATACGCGCTGCGCAAGAACGTGTCGCCCAAGGTGTTTGCTCCCGTGCCATTACGTTCTTGGATGCCAAAGATGCAGGCGTCTGTGACGCCGTCCGGCATGCGTGGGAGTTTTCCGTGGAAGGTCCGGTTGATGATGAGCTCGTTCATGGGCACGGCGATCTGAAGCGGGGAGGAGAAGGAGAACATGACAGATTGCGATGAGGACATGAGATGGCAGGGCGCGTAGCCATCTACTTTGCCGTCGGGGTCTGTTATGTATTCGATACCAATCGCGTCGTAGAGCGGTTTGATGAGCTCACTGGGGAGATAACTGAGGGTTGAGCCGGTGTCCAATAGAACGGCGAGGGCGAGGTTGTCTTTGGAGATCTGGGTGGTGTTATCACCGTTGCCCTTGTCGCTGGAGGAGGACTGGGACTGAGATAGAGACATGCCGGTCATGGTGACCATGAAGTTCTTGTACGTGCCCTTTTCGGGGGTTTGAACGGGTAGGGTGAGCAGGTCGCCCTCGTACTTGGCGGCGTCGACGCCGCCGAAGAGGATGGTACCCGTGGGGGCATCGAGGTCATTGAGCCAGATGGAGTAGGCGTTGGAGTTGATCAAGCCGTCGGCGACCATTTGCGCCGGAAGGTTGTTATAGGCTGGCAACCCGGCACGGGTTTGCACTTCGCTCAGGGCGTACCCTATACCGAGCAGTCCCTGCGCGTTAGTTGAAGAGTAGCCAATGCCAAATTGCAGCCGGTTCAGTTTGGTGTTGCCGATTGTGAAGGTATCGGAGGCATAGTCCCCTCTGGCGCCAGACCCATCCACATACTTGATGTCGAAATGATTGCTGATGTACTCATAAGTAGACGAGTCATTAGCTAGGTAGGTGCCGGAGTATTCGCACGGTTTGTCTTCATTTTGACAAAGAATCGAACTGGGAGAATTCACCCAAGTATCACTTGAGCCTGTGTCGAGGTGTAGTGAAAGATTCCTTCCGGGCGTACCAATGGTCACATTGACATAGTATCCACCTATCTGAACCGTAGTATTAGCCAAGTATTCAAGCAAAGTATTAGAAGGGTAAATCATACGACGTTGTCTAATGCGACTTCATTCATTCCTCTTCTTTGTAGACTGTCTCGGGCAGCGGGTTTTGGGACTGACAATCGTTCCGTCTGCAGACTGACCATCTTTGGGGCACCTGCATCTTGCGTTTGTCGAATGGCGAAGGCTTCCGTTGTTGAAAGAAGGGATGCCGTCAAGATCCATTCCCATATCGTCGTTCTCCTCATCCTTTTTTTCTGTTTTTTTTTCTTCTTTTCTTTTCTTTTCTTTTCTCTTCTGATCTGTTTGTTTAGAAGAACAGTATCGACGATCTCAAGAATCCAACAAAGCCCTCTGATACTATACCCTCTATATATGTAGATGATAATACAATACAGTAAACCAAAAAGGATTTGTGACGAACGAAAGAAGGAAGCTGGCAAGCAAATGTTCAGAAATCAGCTGCGTGATCGGGTAGGCAGTGCAAATAAAAAAAAATAAAAGAAGAATGCGAATGTATCTGACAACACTCGGATAATCGTGATGCAAGACTGAGTGAGCTCTTCAACGTAGGCCAAGGATTTGGTTACGTCCAATAGGAACCAAACCACAAGAAACCCAGGCAGACCTTGGTCAAGTTAAGAGTGTAAGTGGCACGTAGGGTACACAAGACAGTTCCAAAGATCGTACTGTCTAAGTGACAACCAACACCTCGTCCCTGCGTTGCGTGACCGAATTAGTATAAGAAAAAGAAGAGAAGGTAAAGGCCTAGCAAGTAAACAAAAAGAAAGCTGTGACAACTATATCAGATGAGAAGGGAAGCCACATGGACACTTTTTGTCCCATGTGGGCGAAAATGATGGGATGACAGAAGTATGATAGTGAAAACGAAAAATCTACCGGAGATAGAGGTAGATGTAGAGATGAGGCAAAGCCGGGCACAGTCAACAGGCTAGAACGGGGGTCATTCTTGGAGGCAAGAGGATAGGCGGGAGGGGTATTGGAGAAGAGAAAGGCTCCACGAAGTTCCGGCCCCCTACGCGTATGGGATCCATCGACAGGGGCTGGGACAGACTGAAAAATGGATGAATGATGTGAACGGCCTTGGGGCAAAAATAAAGGCAATGAGGAAATCAATCATAAGAGTCGCCAAAAGGAAGTACCTCCAAGTAGTTAATGTGAAGGTTAAGAGCTTGGCTTGTCCATATCTGGAGAAGGTTTGGCGTTTAAGAAAAGAAGATATGATGGAGCTTTTCCTGCCACACAAGGCCTGGTTCGGACTCGTGGCGCATCGACGTCGAGAAGGCTGCACGAGAAACGGGAGACAGGCCCCGATGAAGGCTGTGTATGTAGATTAGACCGATCCTGGGCGTCTTCGGCGGCGGCAAAGGCATGATGCGTAGCCTCGTGTACGCAGAAGGCAAAGCAAGGATCCAGTGGACATGAACCGGGTGCACCTAGGTAGTGCTGCGGAAACGTAAGCCGTTGGGACGAGGCTGATGTATTACACAATCTGCAAACTGTGCAACTGAACGTGATTCTGTTCCAGATGTATCTTGACGACGAGAAACGTTCTCGGTTCGGCTGAGTCGAAGTGGACTTTCCCCTTGGTGAAGATGCTGACGAGATGGTCAACGGACACGAGCAACGGACGAAATGGAAGAAGAAAGGAAAGTGGGAGAGCGAATCCGAAACCGACGACTGACGATCACTGGCCCAGTGTTGGCTTCCATCCATGCTACCTTCCTTCGACTGTTGGGACGGAAGAAGCTTCTTCCTGTGGAAAACAAGCCTGGAAGTTGGATGCCAAGGTGGAGCTGCCAGAGCCGGATCTACCATAATTTCTGCGATTTTGATACTACACTCTGCTGGCGCCTGGATCCCATCAGCGGCATCAGGGAGTTAAATGGTCGAGATCGAGATTCGACAGGCCATCTGGGTAGGCGAATTAGGACGCTCTAGTCCCCTCCCTGAACCGATAAGGGGATGAAAAGGTACAGAAGGAAGGACCAGTTCAGACGAAGAAAGGCCCTGTTCCTGGAATCGTTGGTAAAATAATTTTGGATCGGTGTTCCTGTCCCTCTGATTTTACCAGAGAGTGTAACGTAACAAAATTGCGCCAGAGCCTTGGGAGCTATACCTCTATGGTCTGTGTTAATGATCAATGGAAAGACATGCCCTGGGCATGGGGAGGAAGCAACCTATGGAACGTCGGGACGGGAGGCCGTTTTCCAATTGTCCCGGCGATGGGAAAATGCACGATTTCCCATGGGTTAGTGACGCTTAAGACTAGCGGATGTAGCCAACCTTGGGCGGCCTTGTTAGCGACCGTTAACAGGTTAGCTTGATGACTTTTGAGCCTGGTGATAGCCTTCACATGGGCCAATTTCCGGTAATTTGCACGTGTCTGTTAGTGCCCTTGTCCCCTGGTAGTGGAGACCAATCTTGCGCCGGTGGAGATTCCATCCAGAAAACCACGCTTGTGATACTCTTTCTCCCACGTTTCCAGGTTCTCTTGTTGGGTCAATTCAACCGCAAATCTTTTGATGCGACGGTTACCGAAAAGCGCACTGTTGTCTGGACTTGGACGTGCAGAGCACACGGTGAACCAGCTGCTGTAAGGCGAAAGGACGGACGGATTTCGGATTCGGCTTGACCGCATAGCCCTACGTAGTTACTTCGAGGCGCTGTAGGTTTGTGATGCACGTCCAGCAAGAGCAAGGAGGGTATGCATGTCCGCCGTTCGAAGCAAAGGGGAATTTGGAGGATTTGCGGGTTCATGCCCATTGTCGTTATCGGGATGAAGACTACATGCCCTTCAGGTGTGAAGGTTGAGTTCTCCGGGGATGACGGCCAAGGTTACGCAAGGTATATGTGTTGGCGGCCTTGATGGTAATATTGAGTATCCCAGCCTGCCGTCATCCAGGCAATGACATGTCATCTTGGGCATCTCGAGGTTGGTCTGAGTACGAGATATCGGAGCCTCAATACACATCGTCTTCTTGGCGGTTAGAGTCGACTAGTAAGTTCTGGTCGAGAGGTTTAGTAGAACGACACCATTGGCGAGCCGCTTAGCATCTAGGTATGGTGCTCACTGTTGTCAAAGTCCAAGACATTCCCTCGCTACCAACGGGCTACCGACGGACGCATTGTGTAACCAAGCTGAATATTGCCTAACACTGTTTCACAAATAAGGCTGTTGTGGAACATTAGAGCCGCACGCTTACACCAACAAGGGAAATGAGAAAGACACTCCATGAATCGATATGACGATCGTCATCAGACAGCAAAAGATTTTTCACCTCACCAATTAAACTCGCATGAGGCTGAGGGGAAGCTACGGACATGCCTCGGTTTAATGTTCAGCCGCCATGGTTCGGCAAGTCTGACCCGACTCGGTGAGACAGAGCTAGAGTAGAAAATAAAATAGAAGAATGAAAAGAAAAGAAAAAGGATCCAAAAGTGAGGATGATCGGGTGAATGGAGGTTGAGGAGGGAAAACAGCTGTCAAGAAGAGATACAGAATTCGCAGTAGTGACGGCGGGGGGACGACTGCCATATACACTACTAACGGTAGGCTCGTCGGGCTGAAAGAACTCACTTTGTCATAAGTAAGCTACTGTACAAATGTCAAGTGCCGTTGCCACAAAAAGAGGTCGACAAGTAAAACCCCCTTGATGGCCAACTGAAAGTTGGAAATGTCTTGGGAAGGTGCAGTGGAGGAGGCTCATTCTCCAAGTGTTATCACATCACAAATGGGACCACCTGCTTTTAGATCTTCAAAGAAACTGAAGTAATACCACATTCCACTGTGATCATGATGGGTTTGGTCGACAAAGTACCCGTTGGTATGATGGTGGCTTTGTGTCTGCTAGCCGCCATTGAAATCACTTTCACAGCCATAAACTCGTAGATATCCAGAATCGTTTCAAGAATAATAATTCTATGCCAAAGCTAACGTGTATACTCTCCAACAACCTACACCTAAAGTCTCGTAGACATAACAAGACAATCCCTTTCAACATCACCCTTTCACCCGCTATTTGATACTTTTGATGCTCTTCTCCAGTTCCTTCACGCTCTCCCTCACCTTGGGGCAATAATGTCTCCTCAACAGCTCGCCCTCCCACACCGTCGACGCGAATGGGTTGCTACCCTCCACCGTCGCCGCAAGTGGCTTATATGTGCCGTCGCCCTTCCTCTCCTCCGTATTCCAGAGCGAGCTAATCTTCCTGCCGTGCGTGTGGAGCACGTCGGCGAGCAAGCCGAGAAGCGCCTGGGCTGACTTCTCCGGCACCTGGAGCGATCCAGACATGAGCTGCTTCGTGAAGGCGGCCAGACGGAGCGGCGCCACGGAGCGGATGTTCCAGGGCGGCAGGAGGATGCCGCTGAGACACTTGACGAGCAGGACGGTGGTGGTCTGCAGATTGATGCGGTTGTTGCGGCGCACGCTGTTTTGGAGCTGGAGCGACTGGGCGCCGAGTTCGAGATCCGGGTTAACGGAGAGGGAGAGGAGCGACTGGAAGAGGTGGGTGATGAAGAAGGAGAGATCGAGGTGAAGATCCGAGCGGGCGTTATGGGCGTCTTGGCCCTCGAGAAGAGCAAAGGCGGTGACGGTGCAGAGGAGGGCTTCGCGGCTGGTGTCACGAACGAATTCGTGCTCGTCGTCTTCATCCTCTTCCTCTTCCTTGTTCTCGTCGTCCGACTCGTCCTCCTTGTTAGCGTCCTTTTCACTGTAGCGGATCAGGTCTTTTAGGGCCTCAAGGAGATCACCAAAAAAGTCCTGGTTAATCAGGTGGGAGTATCTGGCGAGACCTTCAAGACAGGCACCCATGAGGTTGGGAATACGCATCTTGAGGATGCGGAAGTACGAGGCGAAAACCATCTTGAGCGTTTCGGACTGCATCCGCTCTCGCTCCTCATAGCTCACAGCTGCGTCGGCGTGGGCCATGACCTTTTCAGCCTCCTTCTGCTCCTTGAGGAGCTTGCGCTCACGCTTGGTGCGGAACTCCTTCTTTTGCCTCGGCTTCTTGACCGACCCATCATCCTGCTTCTCCACCGTGTCTCTGGAAGCTTTTCCGGAGAACTCGCTAAGCAAACGCAGGTGGAGGAACAGGTTCAGGATGCTCTCGTCAACCTGGTAGTTGCGAGCCTTCATCATCTTTGTGAGCACTGAAGTGGCCTCCATGGCGGGTTGACCATCCTCATCCTCGTGAAACAGGGTCTCGAGAGCGGTCCGGCATTTGATAAAGTCTTTATCAATATTTCTGTAGCTCAGCTTCTTGATGAGAATCTTGAGAAGCTCACCGCGGAAGTTGAAGTGCGGTACTGCGTTCAAAAGGGTGCAGGCGCAGGTAAGGGCGATGCTGGAAATGGGCTGCTTGGACTTGTCGCGAATAGATCCACCTGCGAGGGCAGCAAGGGTCTTGATGTATTGGTAGTAACCGGTGACCATGGCCTGCTCATAGACGCGTAGCCGCTTGACATCCTTGGACAGCTTCTCTTTGGCAACATCCTCCGAAGCCGGTCTTATCCTGTAGCCGGGAATGACATCCTTGTAGACGGTCATCTGGACAACAATGGCGAGCTTCTTGATGGCGAGAAGGTCCGACTCTCCAATCTTGGCGAGCGCCTTGAAAGCACCCGGATGCTCCTCTGGGTCTTCATTGAGTTGCGTTGCGATCTTGGCCATTTCCTCCTGGGCTCTCCTGATCTGTTCACGCTCGGGGATCTTGGGTGCTTCTGGCTCGGGCTGAGCCTCCTCCTCCTCAGGGGCCTCCTCCCCTTCACTCTCCAACCACTCGGCATCGCTCGCAATCTCGGCGTCTTCCTCTTCCTGCGTCACCCAGGTTCCCTCGGCAACTCTGATGGGCAGTTTCGTGGCATCGGCGGCCTTCTTCTCCTTCTTCTTCTTTCCTTTCCTGGGGCGGTTCTCATAGTCCTCTTCGAGGTTCCAGCTCTGTGCACTCTTGAAGAACTGCTTTTGAATTTTGACGTCGCTGGTGGCTGCGCCGTCCGAGGACTGGCCGCCCTCGGTCAGCTTCCTCCGCTTGGAAGGATGGGAAGACATGGTGGTGGCTGGTAATGGTCTGTGCAGTTGGAGGGTTGTAATATGATGTGAAGTCAACCTGAAACACTGAGTGTGGGCGGTTGATCGATGCGTGCTGAAGACAGACTGAAGTGAGAGCGAGCGGTGTTCTGGAGTGGAGATGGATGGGTATCGATTGTTTGTTCTTCACTGAGATGAGGAACCGCTCAGGAACATTTTCCAAACTTTTTGGACCCTGGCTGCCAAAGCTGGGGTCTTATCGGCGGGCTGTGGTTGGTTCATATTTTTTATCGGACCCCACCGCTTGGGGAAAAAAAAGTTGCTGAACCATGAACGGCCATCGATTGACTGCACTTTGAGTTTTGCGGTCGAGTTGCTTGCGCTGGAGCTTCGAGTGGCCGCACCTCCTCCTCCAAGTTTGAATTCCCTTCCTTCCATTCATCCAAATAGGAACCCACGGGGCACTCTCCGAAAACATCAACACCGTCGCAGCAAAGAGAGACCGCGGCAATCTCTTTCTCGACCACTGTACACACATCCAACCTCCCGTCATCCCAGTCTCTACCCCACGATACACAATCGAGACTGCACTCTTCCCCGTCTCCCACCACGCGCCGAAAGGCCGATCGAATTCCCACTTTGCGACGCGATCGAAATATCGACGTCGACTCTCCTTAACGATAGTACCATACGATACCCATAAAGCCAAATCGTAGAAAGCAACACCCAACCATGTCGTCTTTGGCCTCCCAGTTGGCCCAGATCGCTGCCAACTCGCGGTCGACCCTCAACACCAAGGTCCTCAAGGCCGCCCACTCCAAGTCCCTGATCTTCGAGCCCCGCGTCGCCGCTACCCAGACATACCCCGAGATCTACTCGATATGTCTCGAAGGCTTTGAGGAGCTGTGCAACCTTGATTCGCGCTTCACCAAGTTCACACAGTCGCTATGGAGCCCACAAAGCCAGGAGGCCGACAGGACACAGATGAGCGCCGCTGAGAATGCCGCCCTCGATAAGCATGTCGAGGCCTTCCTCCACCTGTGCGGCAGCAGGTTGCGTCTCATGCCCGCCATCAAGGCCATCGAGTGGTTGATCCGCCGGTTCCGCGTTCATGAGTTCAACACCGCTGCTCTCATCGCTACCTTCCTCCCATACCATACCATCCCGGCCTTTGTGACCTTGTTGTCCATCCTGCCCGCCAACATCCCCAAGGAGTACCGCTTCCTCGACCCCTACATCCGCTCTCTGACCGCGCCCCCTCGCGCCGCCATTGTCCAGCAAGCGACAAACCGTCCCGAGCTGCTTACCGCCATCTCCCAGTACACTCTCGACTCTTGCAAGTACCAGATAGAATACCCTGGCCTCATCTCGTTCTGGGGTGGTGTCATGGTTGAAGCCACCAACGGTCTGCTCGACAAGTACCGTTCCGGCAGGCGAAGCATTCAGATCGAGAACGACAACGCCCTCATGCAGCAGCTTGGCCCTGTCCTCAGCGATGCCATGGTCATGAAGAGCTCTCCCGGTCTCCAGATTGCCAGCTACATGGTTGTGACGATTCTGGCTGCCAAGGGCGGTCTTGCCGACAACGCTCTTACGGCCTTTATGGACCAGCTTGTCCACGGCTGGACGCCCGAGACGATGCGCCCTGGTCTCGTCACCCTCTGCATCATCTCCCAGCACCGCTCCGCCAAGCAGCTTTCTGCCAGAGTCACCAAGGCCCTCCTCAAGGTTCCTGAGGTTGCCTCCGTCATGAACGAGATTGGCAAGGACCACCGAGTTGATAAGCTGGCCAACGGCCTAGCGCTTGCCTTGGTCGACAGACTCCACAAGAAGGGCGATGTTCGCAGTCTGCCTGTGGTCAACTCGCTACTCCTTGGCAACGTCCTCCGGGAGAAGCAGATCAAGGTCGTCTACAAGTCTCTGTTGGTTGCCGCCCACAGAATTAACGACCAGGTTGATCAGGATGGCGCAATTCGCAAGGAGCTTGGCACTATTCTGGTCAGCTTGTCCCAGGCTGGTGGTGAGGTTGGCGATATCGTCCGTGCTACTATCGACGAGGTTGACTTCGACATTGATGCTCTCGAGTTGACTCTTGGCGCCTCCATTCGCCCCAAGCTCGCCGTTGAGGATGCGCCTGAGGCCGCTGCTGAGGACAACAACACTCCTACAGTCGACAAGGAAGCCCAAGTCGCGCAGAACTTCGAGAAGCTCTCCAAGCTCAAGCCCCAGACTGCATCGTGCTTTGCTGAGGAGCCTCTTGATCTTCTCGAGGAGCTTTACTCGCTCTTCTTGTCTGTCGCTGCCAATGAGAGTAACCTTCAGAAGTTCGACGAGGCCCCTGTTCTCAGCCGCCCCCAGGCCCCTACCAAGCTCTTCTATGCCAGCTTCTATATGCGTCTCTGGTGCGGTTCTCTCCCGACTTTGGCCAAGGTTGCTGCTCTTGACCGTGTCAAGAACCTCCTGAAGGATGAGGACTTCGCCACGTTGGACTTCCAGGCCGTCGTTCCCTATGCCATTGTTGCTCTCAGCGACCCTGCCAAGAAGGTCCGTCGTGCCGCTGCCGAGCTGGTCACCGGTTTGGGATCTTTCTACGAGACCAAGCCCACCAAGGCCCGCCGTGCGTGGGGTTCTGAGGGTCTCTATGCCAAGAATGCTGCTGTCAACTGGCTAGACTTTAATGCCACCAAGTCGCTCATCCATTCCGTCCTCATTCCTTCTCTCGAGGAGTCCCTCCTTCACGAGGACCACATCTTAGCTGCCCTCACCAACGCCCTGGAGAGCTCCAAGTCCAAGGACGGCGATAAGAAGCACCTGTCCCACTCTACTAGACTTGCCATTTTCAAGTTCCTTTCTAGCCATGTTGTTGGAACACCGCTGATTGCTGTCAAGCTGAGACTTCTGCAGTCGCTCAACCAGATCAAGAGCATCTCCGGTACTTCTAGAACCGACCTGCTCCTTTCTCTCTTGCAATGGTGGGCCCGCCTGTCTCAGGCTGAGGCTCAGCAGCTCCTTGCACGGGAAGCTGTGGATGAGGCGTCTGTCAACAACGCCTTCGTTGATGTCGTCATTGCCAACAACGAGGCTGGTCTCAGGCTGATCTTCGAACTCATCCGCGATTCTAATGTTATTACCCGCAACGGGCTCGTCCAGTCGCTCTTCGGCCGCATCCAGAAGATCTGGTCTTCCATGAAGGCTGAGACCCAGTTCTCCACCGCTCGCGCTCTGCTCACTCTTTCTCAAGCCGTTCACCCTACCTCTTCCGAGCCAGACGTTATTGCTACCGAGGCTACTGATGTTTTGCATAAGGTTGAGCTGACTACTGATATCCTGCTCGACTTCCTCGAGTCTCTTTACGATGATATCAAGAAGGCTACCGAGAAGCCGGCGACCAAGCGTAGACGTGTTGGCTCTTCCGAGAAGAGCGTCGACTCGCAGAGCCCTGCCGATGTTAGCGCCAGTCTCAACAAGGCCACCTTTGTTCTCGAGCTTGTTCAGGAGTCGGAGCCTGCCAAGCATCCCGAGCTGCTTCCCAGCCTCTTCACCACCCTTTCCGAGCTTCAGCACCTCCGTACTGTTGTTGGCTCTGAACTGGGCTACCTCCAGAGCCTGGTTCTCAGTAGTCTGCTTGCCATGATGCCGGCCTACAAGGACAGCAAGGAGCTCACTATTGACCCCGCGGCTGGTCACGGTGATATCCTTGCCTCCTGTATCCAGCGGTCTTCCAGCCCCACTGTCATCAACGCTGCTCTGCTGCTGGTTGCCAGCCTGGCTCGCACTGCGCCTGATGTTGTTTTGCACAGCGTTATGCCCATATTTACTTTCATGGGCAGCTCTGTCCTCAAGCAGGCTGATGACTACTCTGCTCACGTTGTCAACCAGACCGTTAAGGAGGTCATTCCTCCTTTGATCGAGACCTTCCGCAAAAGCAGGAGGAACCTGGTTGCCAGCACTGCCGAGCTTCTCACCAGCTTCGTTGTTGCCTACGAGCACATTCCTTCTCACCGCAAGCAGGATCTCTTCATCACTCTTATCGAGAACCTTGGACCCGAGGACTTTCTCTTTGCTGTCCTTGCCATGTTCGTTGACAAGTATGGCGCTACTGATAACATGCTTGCTTTCACTACGCAAATTATCGGCTCCTTCTCGGTGGAAATCCAGCTGCAGACCCTCATCAAGCATCTGGATCTCATCAGCGACATCTTCAAGCCCAAGCCTGTCCTCTCCGCTGCTATACTCGCCAAGGTTGACTCCAACTCCGAGCAGGATGTTGTGAAGCTTGCTACGAAACAGCTTACCCTCCTCCCGAAGTTGCTTGTTAACCGTCGGCTGAGAAACGAGATCTCCGGATTGGCGGAGAAGGATGATATGGAGTCCGTGAAGATCCGCGAGCTTTATGCCCAACTCCTCGAGGGCGTCCTCACCCTGGCTGGTACCGTTAAGCCAAAGAAGGACACCCTTTACACGCGCTGCGGCGAGGCGCTCTCCAACCTCCTCAACCTGCTCTCCATTGCCGAGTTCATCAAGAGTGTTGAGGCTCTTCTTGACCGTCCGAACGTCATTTTACGCCAGAAGGTCCTCCGTGCCTTGGAGCGCCGCGTGGACAGCGAGAGCATCAACAACCCCAAATCGAGGGAGGCTTTGCTTGCTTTCTTGCCCCAGCTAACGGCTGTTATCCGCGAGTCGGACGACATGAACTACAAGCACACCGCTGTCAACTGCGTCGACAAGATCGCCGAGAAGTATGGCAAAAAGGATCTCGATGCCGTTGCCGCTGCTGCCGCCACCATTGCCGGCGACAGCTGTCTTGGTCAGCCGTCTCAGGAGCTCCGTGTCATGGCTCTTCTTTGCCTTGCCTCTCTTGTGGATGTTTTGCAGGATGCTATCGTCCCTGTCCTGCCTATTGCCATCCCCAAGGCTCTTGGCTGCCTCGAGGAGAGCATCAAGGCCGAGAAGCCCGATGGTGCACTGCATAATGCTGCCTATGCCTTCATGGCCGCTCTCGCCCAGCACATTCCTTACATGATCTCGGGTGCCTACCTTGACAGACTCCTTGTCTGCTCCAACGCTTCTGCTGCCGCTGGTGTGAACGAGGAATGCCGCGCCAGCCGGACCGACTGCCTCCAGTTTGTCGCCAAGCTCATCGAGGGCAAGGTACTCTTCACTGCCCTGGAGAAGAACTGGGCCAATGCTGCTTCTTCTGGATACTTGGTGAGTCTTCCTCCTGTCACCGTCACCCTTGTTATATAAGCTAACAATCTCCAGGCTCTTGAGGAGTACCTCCACGTTCTTGGCACCGCTCTGGACAAGCACCCCAAGTCCTCCATCGCCAAAAACACCACCCTCTTCACTGGCATCTTCCTCAATGCCTTTGATCTTCGTCGCAGCGGCGTCCTCTCTTCTACCCAGGAGCTGGAAAAGATCGAGCTCCTCATCAACGAGACCTCTCTCAAGATGATTTACAAGCTCAACGATGCCGCCTTCCGCCCCATGTTCTCCCGCCTCATGGAGTGGTCCACTACCGGCCTACCCAAGTCCGACTCGGCCGGCAAGGCCCAGCGCCAAGTCAGCACCTACGGCTTCCTGCAGCACTTCTTCGAGAACCTCAAGTCCATCGTTACCTCGTACGCCTCGTACATGATCGACTCGGCTGTCAAGATTCTTTCTGCGCCCCTTACCGGTGACGACGTCCTCAAGACCCTCCGCTCCCGCGTCCTTCGCACCCTCACCAAGTGCTTTGAGCACGACCAGGACGGCTTCTGGCAGGCGCCCGCCCACTTCAACGCCGTCGCGCCCGTACTGGTCGCGCAGTTTGGCCACGCCGCTGGCGCTGATAACTGCACCGAGGATTTGGTGCTCGCCGTTGTCGAGCTGGCTGCTGCCGCCGACAGCAAGGAGCACCACAAGGAGATCAACTCGGCGCTGCTCAAGCACCTGCGGTCGGAGCAGGCGGCCGTCAGGTTGGCGGTCATCAAGTGCGAGCAGGAGCTCACTGCTAGACTGGGTGAGGAGTGGCTCCAGAGCTTGCCGGAGATGTTGCCATTTATTAGCGAGCTGCAGGATGATGATGACGAAGTTGTGGAGAGGGAGAACAGGAGATGGATTGTGGGCATTGAGGAGACGCTTGGTGAGAGCTTGGATAATATGTTGCAGTAAAGGGTTACGAGGGTTGGAGTTGGTTATTGAAAGAGTACATACTGTGATTAATGGTCACGGGAAGACGTTTACATGTGGTATATGATCGATGTCTTTGGTCATGTTGAAGGTGAAGGATATATCCTGAGGATGGATGGGTCTATGTATAGCATTTGCATTTGTAACTGGCGTTCGATACAAAAAGTCATGGTTGGATTTGATGTGAATAGATATGCAATGATCATTGAAAGTTCTGTTAGTTGTTCTTGATTCGTGTCCTGTGATATCGTCTATTTCTCGCTCACTGAACATGCCTGCAGAAACTTGTCCAAACCAAGATGTGTCGCAAAGACGAATATTGCTCCCCTACTTGGCCCTGTGTCCTTCCGCTCTGGGTATCTTTTCTCCTCTCTTCTCTCCGCCACTGCGCACTCCTCCTCCGGCAGCAGCAACAGCAGCAGCAACCCCCATTAACGAACGTACTTGCTCATAAACCGCCTATGGAAATCGCTCCTCAACAAATCATTGACAAACTCCTTCTTCTTATTCCTATCATCCACGCCCCTCGCCTGGTTCTTGAAGACCACGTCGTCGTCCCACCTCCTCTTGACCGTAAAGTCCGGCTTGTTCAGCAGCGGGTTCCCGAGCGCTATGTCCTTCTCGCGCTGTTCTTCTTCGGCCTTTTGGCGCTCAAGCTCCTCGCGCTCGCGCTTCTCTTGACGCTCGCGACGCACGCGCTCAAGTTCCCGCTGGAGTTCAGCTTCTTCGTCGTCTGAGTCGGAGTCGGAGTCGGAATCGGAATCGGAGGAGTCTGAAGAGGCGTCGTCGTCATCTTGGTTCTTCTGGGCTTTTGGTGATTTGGCATCGGCGTCTGATTCGGCGTCGTCGTCGTCATCATCAGAAGAATCATCCGCATCAATCTCCCTCGTCAACTCTAATATCCTTCGTCGCTTCGCTTCTTGGTCTTCCTCCTCTTTGTGATCACCGCTCGTCAAAGCCAATGGGCGCTTGGTTCCCGCCTTCTCGTTATCGACATCGTCACCAGAGGTAAGAGCAGGTCCGCCCCTCAACTTGGCCTTGTGCGCCTCCTCGGCAGCCAGCAGCTCAGCGCGCAGGTCGCGCGTGTCGCGCTCTTCAGATGCCCCAGCAACGCCGCCTTGGCCGGGCTTGCGGAACTTGAGCTGGGTGTAGGCGGGTAGGAGACGCTGGTGGTAGGCGGGACCGCGGAGAGCTTCTTTGCCTTTGGCCTGGTTTTGAGAAGAATGAATGTTAGTGGGCGCACGAGAGGATGGCGGGATTGGTTGGGGATGAGAAGGATAAGCTTAGGTGGTGGGATGCGTACCGGGTCGAAGGTAGGTCTGTGAGCTGTGGTCATTCTGGCGGCTTGATTCGGTTACGCAGTTCTTTTCTTGAGTTGATAGATGATGCCGGTGCGTGAGAGATGAAGCGCGCGCGATAGAGGGCGAGATGGGCCGTGATTTGTTGAGTGGTGTTGGAAGTGGAAATTGCTGCAGAAGGAAGTAAAGTTGTTGATTTGAAGCAATATGATGGCTCTGAAGAAGGAACTGGCTGGCAGTGGTACAAATGGATCCAATGACGCCCTGGGGTTCAGTCTCGCAGGCGCACTTCTTGACCGCCAGCGGCAAAACCCGCCAAATTTTGGCGGACTTTAGTGGCAGAAACGGTGACCATAGCGACTGCAACTGCAGCACCTAACCAGTGATGTTGATTCTTTAGATCTGCAACAACGTATTTTCAAAGGGAAAAAGTAAACAAACCTCAGTCAACATGCCCAGAGAAGCAGAACCGTCAGCCAACGAGAAGGCCTTTCTCTTGAAGGCGCTTCAAGACGAACAGATTCGCCTCGATGGCCGTGAATTCGACCAATACCGTCCACTAGAGCTCACGTTTGGAGACGAATATGGCGTCGCCAATGTATCGCTTGGCAAGACAAAGTACGTTTGTGTACTCTCACCACAACACCACGCATATCCTACCCCTGAGGCACCAAGATACTAACCGGGACTCCCATCTTTAGAATTCTTGCCAAAGCCTCCGCTGAAGTAACAGTCCCCTTCGCCGACCGCCCGCTCGACGGCATCTTCACCATCGCCACCGAACTCTCCCCCATGGCCGCGCCTCACTTCGAAGTGAACCGGCCCACCGAAACCGAAGTGCTGCTCTCGCGCCTGCTCGAAAAGACCGTCCGGCGCTCCGGCGCCCTCGACACCGAGTCGCTCTGTCTGGTCGCGGGGCAAAAGTGCTGGTCCGTCCGGGTCGACGTGCACGTGCTTTCGCACGACGGCAACCTGACCGACGCGGCCTGCTTCGCCGTCGTCGCCGCCCTTCGCCACTTCCGAAAGCCCGACACCAGCATGGAGAATGGCGTGCTGACGGTGTACACGCCTGCGGAGCGGGAGCCGGTGCCGCTGGGCTGGCTGCACTCGCCTTTCTGCGTGACGTGGAGTTTCTTTGGCGACGAGGGTGAGACAGCGTTATTGGATGCGGATTGGATGGAGGAGCAAGTCAGGGTCGCCAGTGTCACGATTAGTTTGAACAGGCACGGAGAGATCTGTCAGATCGCGAAGCTCGGGGGTGTACCGGTCGAGGCAGTTGCGCTACTGCAGTGTACCAGCGTGGCGCTGACGAAGGTGAAGGAGTTCTCCACTTACTTGGATGACAAGTTGGCGGAGGACACGAAGAGGAGGGATAAGGGTGGGTTTATGGCTGAGTTAAGGGCGGAGAATGATCGCATTGTTGGGTGAAGCGGTTGAGGACATAGAGGAAGAAGTGAGATACCCAGGTACGGCCATAGAGCCGAGCAGAACAACAAGGCTGTGTGGTTGAAGGCGAAACCTGACGAGGATATGGGACAGCTCTACAGCTGGTCTCTGTACTTTTCTCAGTCAAAAGAGAACGGCAAGAATTGTCCAAGAGGCAAGTCACTCCGCGGAATGGGCTCTATTATTATGCTGGGGGGCGCCGCGAGTGCCGTATCCTCCCTCATGTCTAAAGGGGGTTATCCCGTTAGCGGCGACCGGAATTGCTATCTAACGTTACACAGTGTATCTCGCCATCAGCTCAATCCCCAAGTCCTCATCTGCCGCTAAAGCTGCTAGATGAATGAGGTGAAAGCATTGGCGCCAGGTAACCGCAGGGTCCTAGTCTCTACCTCTAGACGCAATGAGCTCCAAACTTTAGTTTAGACCAAGCCTGAGCCCCAAATATGCTTCCACGTCACTTCCCCCACGATCCAATCTCGTCCGGATTTGAAGTGATTTGATCCGATGGCAGGGTAATCTCGCGCTCCGTTGTAGGTGTTTTTGGAAGAAACCGGCGTGGTCATGTACCGCTCCTGGCCCAGTCCTTAAGTCTTCCAGGAAGCGGTGTTGATCCTCAACGGCAGGCAAGATCCAAGCATCGCCGAACCCAAAGGGAGGATTTGGTCCCCACATAGAATCCTCTGCTCCGGCGCTGTCGATGTTCGTCGATATTGGTCGCGAACGCGGGTCATGTCATGAATTGGTATTTCATCATCAACCGCTCCCGCTTCTCACCGCATAACCGGCGGCCTCGACTCCTTGTTCCACTTTACCCTCGACCTAACCCACTCCACCGCCTCCCTCACGCCCGTGCCCGTTAGTGCCGACACCGGCAACACTCTCGAGTCTCTAATACTTGCGCTCTTCTCGCCCTCGAAGACCTTCTTTACCAAGCCTTCCTTGATCCGCACCACCTCTACACAGTCTTCCCGGTCCTGCTTGTTCGCCAATATCAACAGCGGTACGCCTTCTGTCTCCGAGTGCTGCAACACATCCTCCAACACCGCCCGACACTCGTCCAGCCGCCCGTTGTTCTGATCGCGCTCGATTTGGCCGTCGCCGATGTCGGTGCTGTCGATGATGAAGATGATGGCGTGGCAGGACGAGTAGTACGAGTGCCACAGGGCGCGAAGGGAGAGCTGGCCGCCGACGTCCCAGAGCTTCAGGTACATGTCGGGAAGGGTGATGGTGGAGACATTTTGGCCGACCGTAGGAACCGTTCTCAACTTGGGCTCGGGCTGGTCGGGGTGGAAGAGAGCTTTGACTTGTTCGTGAAAGGTGGTCTTTCCGGCGTTGTCGAGGCCTAGGAGGATGACGGAGTATTCTGCAGGCGAAAAAAGGGAGAGGTTAGTGTTGTTGGTCGTTGCAACTATGGGATGAGATGGAAGGGAAAAAGGGGTTAAATGGGATGGGAAGGGGAAAGCTAACCCTCTTTACTGGTCGCTAATCGGTAGAGACCCTTTGCTAGGTGATACATGTTGGCAATTGTCTCCGGAAGCTGACAAGGGCGTGTGAAAAGGTAAGGTAACAGATCGCAAAGCTGTATGAGCTAGTAGGTGTTCGTAAAGAATCTCTACGATATTATAGGTATGTAGTGTACAGAAGACTTCCTGGCGCAACAGCCCGGATCGGGACCGTGTCTTCCCCAGACTTGTCAAACGCGCCGGGGGGGCGATCACACAGCGTCGAGGCCCCACATACACAGGTCTCTACACTAACGGCTTGACAGGGGCATGCCATCCCAAGTTTAGCGGCTTCGGTGGGTTTCTGGCCTGAAACGTGGACCGCTAGGGATGGATCAGCCCGATAAGATAAGAGCCCGCGGGGAGCTCTCTGTGTCGTCATAGGCCACCTAGTTTCACAGCATCAGGCCGCTTCCAGCTTCCATTCTCCCAAACCAACCCATCAGATTTTTACTTCTTCTTTCCCTCTCTCTCTCATGGCACAGTAATCAGTTAGATATCGGAGAACATATTTCCAGCCTTCGCCATGGCTCCCGTCGCCCTAGAATCCGAGCCAAGGTACGTTACGACTATGCGCCATCACTTAGATACGCCCAAGTGACGCCGAGGTTACGCGTTGGTGAAAGCAAGATAGTGGAAGCCAAGTTACAGTAGGTAAGCTAACTTGGATACTTCTGCAGGTATCTACCGTTGGTTCTGGTGGCATCGCATATAACAGTCCCTATCTATCTCACTTACATCATCGGCTTGGGCCTCTACCGATCGTATGCCCAACTGGGCCCAGCCCAAGACACGCGTGGCCGGATATCGCAACGACAAAAGCTAGTGACAGTGTTCGGCAGTTTGTCACTTCTGAGTCTAGCATCTGCCATCAAGTCCGGATTGGAGTATCTGGCCATCTCATACAAAGTATGGGCATCCGAACGAGGTATCCCCCTTCTGCAAACCCTATCCGGTGGCTTCAGCCTCAAGAACCTCACACCCGAACATGTCCGCGCTTGGTTGAATGATACACCGCTCTACCTCGATGCTCTCGAAATCATCGCAGAAAAAGCCCGGAGATTGTGGTGGGGACAACAGCTCGACCTGGCAATGGTCTCATGGACCATGTTGCTGGTGGTTGAAGGTCGCAGGAGGAAGATCCCGTTTCTTTGGGCGTATGCACTGCTTGCGCATCTGGTAAACCTCTCTTTTGCGCAGAACTTGTTCTACGTTGCTATGCTCTTGACTCCTGTGCCCATTGGTAATACCCACATGTCGAGGTATGGTTCACGATTGGTATTTCCAACTATTCTACAGTCTGGGTAACTAATGACCATGTAGACTATCGAAGCTCCTCGCTCGTGCGTTCCCACCGAAACCTGCCAACTGGTTCCCGAAGCCTGCCTTCTTCCACATCCTCCTCGTTCTCAACTATGCGGTTATGCTCTGGGCGCCCCGAACCGCAGGAACCATTCACTTTCCTACAGCCGTTGCGATTTCCAAAGCATTGTCTATTGCGCCTCTGGTTCTGCCAGCCATCATTCCCAAGTCCTGGGGAAAGATCCAAGCCGAGCCACACGACAGCTACAGTTCCTTCACAAAACTCTTCAACGTCATGTCTGTCGCCAGCATCCTGCTACACGGCAAGACATCCATCTCCGCTCTGTGGGATAACCTCCCCGGCTCGTACAAGCACCGCCACAGCGTCCGAATCCCCTTCGACATCGAAAAGCGATCAGCATGGGAACGAAGCACAACCGCCATGGAAAAGATTCTAGGCTCAATGAATGACCACCCGGCCGTCGCAGCCGCCGGCAAAGATGTTCTCCTATGCGCCTTCAGCCTGGGTCTTTGGGCGGCAGTTCGCGCCTTGGACGTAGATCACATGCTCAAGGCGGTAGCACCGTTCTACGGAAGGAAGTCGGGAAGGAAGGAACTCCCCGCTTCCAACCCAAAGGCCGTGGAAATGGGCAGCACAGAACCCTCCGAGTCGATTTCGGAAAGCGAACCCTCGCGCCCGAGCTCGTCTTCGGGCTTGACCATGAAGCTTAGGGACCGTGGCAAGCACGTTAGCTCGAAGCTTGCGGAGGCTCTTAGTGCCAATGGTAACGCGGATACTAGCCCGAAGGAAGCGCCGAGGAGACAGGGGAGACCACGCAAGATCAAGCAAGAACCGACACCGGAGCGGGAGCTGGGAACCATTGACGAGGTGGCTGGTGTACCTGATGCGGTCAGTGACTCGACTTACGAGCCCACACCGGCGGTCAAGGCACAAGCTGTGGAGGGTGATGTTTTGCCGGATGATGAGTTTGATTGGGAATCGGCGGCTCTTGCGTGGGGGTTGACTGCGCTGGGAGGACTGGGTGTCGGCTCGTCGGCTGTCTATGGGGCTGAGTGCGTTTCTCGTTGAGGAGGCTGTGGGAAGAAGGAGGCTTTCTTGAGCACTGGCGTTTACGGAATGTGAACGAGGTAGTATATGAGCTTGGAGGATCCGAATATATATTCGATGTAGTTCTAATCTGAAGTGCCATCTACCTTCCTCTTATGCTTGTTATGGTCCGGTATTGCGAAGATTTGGGCTACTAGGAAGAGGGGATGAGAGAAGGTTACTGAATCACTGTTGAGAAAGACAAGCGCTTGGAAGGATATGACACTATCAACCCAAACGTGAATTGTTCATCCGAGAGACTGATCTAATCTGAGGGTATAGTGAAAGCAAAAGAAATGTCTAACAAACCATAACTCCTCTTGGCTCCTTTGATGAAGAAAACTCTGTCAACGAGAGCATAGCTACCCCCGGAAGACAAAAAAGAAAAAAGAAAAAAAAGAAAGAAGAAAAAAAATCTGAGAACCCACACCTTCTATAGGTACTATCAGACATCCTGATAAAGACACTTTTCCTTAACGCCGAACCTGCAAACATGCCTTCGTCCCTCCCTTTAAAAGAGACTAAACTCTAATACCCTTCATTCAAGGACACATGAATCCTTGCTTGACACGTAAACTTGTCGGACTGCAGTAGATCCGGAGAATGCCAGTCTGCCTTTTGCTCTTTCCCCCACAACACTAACTTGCTCTCGACCCCCTTCTCTGAAATTCCTCGGTCATACCCTGCTGACATACGCCCTTTCTGACAGACTTATCCCCTTCACCTCAAACATAACACATAACCAAAACAGGCCCCTCCTTCCCCACCAACTTTTGATTATACACATCCATCACCACCGAGTCCCAATCGGCATCACTTCTCACATTCCGTGGGCAGCCGGCCGACAGGACATGGATGTACGGAGAAACGCTAGTTCTGCCGCAGATGGTCCCGATGGTGTTCATAATGTACGTGTAGAACCCGCTTCTCACAATGGGCGAGAGGGAGTGCTGGTACGTCACGGGCGGGCTGATGTCTTCGTTGGTCGAACGATTCTTCATGTGCACGTGGTAGGTCAGGTCGGCGTCGTCGGGGACGTCGAGGACGAAGGTTGCGACCGGGACTGGACCTGTTGTTGCTTGCTGGGCTACTTCTTTCTCGCAGCCCTTGGCAAACTCGTCGTGCGTGCGCTTTCGAGTGCCGGTGAAAATCAGGTCTTGGTCGGTTCTAGGGGTAGCGGTTGAGGTCGCGGTTGGTGTGGAGTTGTTGGTTGTGGGGATTGGAGTATCGGTTTGGGTAGTGCTGGTGGTTGTGATACTCGGTACGCTCGTATTGATACATACTGGGGTGGGAGCAGATGTGACGGTTTGGGTGGTGGTACTTGTGCTACCTGGTACTGTCGTCTGAACAGGAGTAACGGTGATGGTAGGAGTGACAGCTATGGGAGCAGGAGCGGCGATTTGAGTGGTCTTGGTTGCGATGGTTGGCACCTTCGTCTCGACAGGAGCCACGGCAGTGCTTTCCAAAACCGGTGTAACGACGCCAACAGAAGCCGTACATGACCCCGGGATGGAGACTGATACAGGAGTTTCGGTGATTTTGGGTTCGCTCGTGGTCTCGATCTCCACTGGTAGAGTGTTCTCAGTGACGGTATTGGAAGGATTCTCAATCGCAGGTGTTGTAGTCGTGTTGCCGGATATTTCTAAAGAACTCGACGCTCCAGTCTCGACACTTTCCATCACAGCTTGCAAACTGGTGCTAGAAGTCGTTGTTGCAGTCATCATTACACCTTCGGAGCATGTCTCTGACCCTTCAGAACCCGTTTCTGGCGAGGCAGTGGTTGCTTCCGGTGAAAACGCTTCCAACTCGGCAACTGGCGCGGGTGAAGATACGGATGCCTCAGAGGGTTCTGGCGACAGCAAGGCACTCGGGTTGTTCCTTGCCGCGTCCTTTTCCTTTTTTCGAAAGAAAACTTGTTGCTGGTAAACAATGCGATAGAGGAGCCCCATGAAGTGGACCATAATACTATCAACTCCAGTTAGCAGCTGTCCTTCACCAAGGAGGTATTTGAGGTTTTTGACAACTTACATGGTCGAGTCTCTGGGCCATATGGTTTGGCGCCTATTTCCAGGCGAAACATAGCACTCTGTCGAACCGAACCACTTTTCTCCCCAACCGGTCGTGAGCATATAATATGCGGCACCTCCCAACATAATCTTCATGCCCCTCACATCACCCTGGGTCTTGTGGTAAACAAGGCTCTGGAAAACCGAGTTCAGCACAAAGTCCTTCATCTCCTTGTTGAGCTCTTTCCCCTGCCAGTCATTGAGTTCGAGGCGTCGATAGAGTATCGACAATCTTGAATTCCGGTCTGCGAAAATATCAGCACGAGTCCAACCAAGGTTCAGGTGATTGGGGTGAGAACTTACCAAGGGTGATATAGTCCAGAAGAATCGGGAGCTGGTTCGGGTAGAGATCGATACGCCCTGTAATGGTTGCTCCTCGGTTGGTGTAGCAGTGACCGTAGCGAAAACCGGGGATTTCGCTCACCCGAATGTACTGATTGTCCGCAGAAGCTGGTGGTGTATTTTCCGGGGAACTGGCAGGAGGAGTGAGGAGGTTTGGGTCATTGGCCTGTGGTAAGGCATTGGCCCCGGGGAGACCGGCATAAGGCTCTTGAGCTTGTGGAAGGCTGTTATCCAGAGGAGGACTAGAATTTGGAACACTGTCCTGTGCAGGAATCTCGGGGTGGTTTTGCGAGATGGATTGTTGTTGAGGCTGTTGTTGAGAGCCTTCGCCCTGCTGGGGGTCTGAGACTTGGTCAACCATCCCGTTCAGTAAGAGCTCAGGTCTTTCCATCTGCGCAAGAGCAGCCTCTATGTCTGCGTCGTCAAACGTAACCTCCCCCAACCAATCCAACGACTCCAACGACAGGGCGGGCTCGGGGGGTAAATCTGAAGGAGTCTGAGTACTAACCGCTGGGCCACCTGAAGTGTGTCCATCCTGAAGCGAAAAGGGACTTGCAGGCGGATCAGGGGCACTGGGCATACATTGTCCTTCTTGCTGTGCAACCAGGTCATCTTGGCCGTCCGTGAAAGGCGGGGTTAGGGCCTCGAGGAGTTCGAGCTCGTCAGGTGTGAGATCAATGGGACATAGCGTGGGTAGGTCTTGGTCTTGGAGTTGTTGGCTTGGTTGGGGGCCGGTGGTTGTTGATGCTGATGGTTGGGGCAGCGTCAACTCGGCCGGCCCCGGCTCTGGTGCATGACCTGAGGCATGCTGTGATGGTGGTTCTTGGTGTTGGTCGTCGTCCTCTGATTCGGAAAAGAGCGAATGCAAATCATCATCAGCAGCGTCCCCAAAGAGCGAATCGAGGTCAGGTTCGACACCGTCGTTCTTGTTCTCCCTCTCGTTGTCCTCGGCGGCAAGGAACTCCTCCTCCAGGTTGGAGAAGAGGTGGTCCTGCTCAGAGTCCAGAGAGACAGAGCCCATGATTGAGATGGCCACTCTTACACATACAGGATTCTGTCGGCGACCAAGTCCAGAGTTTGCAATAAAAAGTGCAACAGGACAGTCAACCGAGGCGCGCGACCGGCCGAGTCACAGCGACAAAAGGTGCAATGTCGAGTGATTGATAGTTTGCGATCGAGTTTGCAGCAGCACTCAAGCAGCAAAGTTCAAAGTCGCAGTCGCAGTCGCGGATGAAGGGCCGGAAGACTTCAGATGAAGATGAAGTCGACGTGCAGGGTCCCGTCTGGTCGAGAAAATAATGTGGAGCCCCACGTCAAGATAAGCCATTGCAACGACAAAGGTGGGTTTCTATCCACTGTTCCTTGCCTGCGGCGTTCACGGGACTGCAGTGCGTGGACTGGAGTGGAAACTTCGTTGTTGATCACAGTGCTGGCCTTACTCTCAGCCACAGCTAACCTCTGCCAATTTTTGTTGTCCTTACGGGATCAATGGGCCCTGAAGGAGGAAGATTGGGGATGCGATCCACTGTGTAAGAGACCATTGCACAGTGCTTCAAAGAACGCTCTTACTGTGGATTGTGGCTTGATTCCTTCGCCATATAGTACTCCAACACCACCATATATAACCCTGCGCATTGCGCTTGGATAGCTGCACCTTTAACCCTGAGTTGTGTCTCGGGGGAGAAGAGTATGGCAGCCTCGAGACCAAATCCATTCAGTCTCTACCAACTGATCTGGTGTATATCATAAGTGTCAAAGGTTATTGTTCTATTATTTGTATCGCTATAGCGCGTTTGGTCATGCGCTCCATTGCGTCACAACATCAGCCAGGTAGGACTCGACTGATCGCTGAGAATATGGTGAAGCTACCGCAGTACTAAATCCAGCAAACTTACAACGCCATGCTTTGCAACTTTATCCCACCATAAATCAGACATCATGAGCTCTTCCGTGTATCATTCCACAGCTTATCCACAATCTGGAAAATCGCCGTCACATCCCTCATGATGGCAGCATCCACATCCCCTCCCAACCGCTGCTGCATCTTATCCGGATGCCAGCGAACTCTCTCGTCCTTCAACCTTGCCGCAAACTCCTTCTCTCCCAACTCTTCCAGACCTATCCCGTGCACAAAGAAAGCCCTAACCGTTTCTGGATCCATTTCATCAATCTTTCCACCCACCACCTCCCTGTTGACAGGCCAAGGAATCTTCGCCACGTCAATCTTCGCACCACCTTCCGTAGCGGCAGCAGCAAAGTCCCCCCACGCCTTGAGATACTCCTCCCACCTGTCCTTCCACACCCTCCTCTTTCTTCTCTCCTCTCCCCTCTTCAAGCTCAGCTCCATCTCCTTGGCGATCCTCCGCTCCTCCTCTTCCCTCCTCCTCTCTTCCTCTTTCCTCTTCTGTCTCCGCTCCCGCTCTTCCAGCAAGCCCTGGTGCGTCTTCTCCCACATCCTCTGTCGGACATAGGCAGCGTACTCCTCGTCCGTCATCCGCTCGAGTTCGCCCTCAGGGTTGACCCGTTCCCGCGCGGATGAGTACACGTGGATCGGCTGGCCGTAGACGCCTTCCCAGTAGGCGGCTCCTTCGTCATCAGCCATGGCGTCGAAGAGAGACTCGCGGAAAGCGGCTTCGGGATCCAGCGGTGGTTCGGCGAAGGGGTCTTGTAGATGATCAGGCAGCTCTTGTTGTGGGGTAGGTGAGCGATGGCGACGGTGCCGGCGGTGGTGATGACGATGGCGGTGTTTGCGACGGGGTTCGCCGTCTTTAGTTCCTTCATCCTTATCCCTGTCCCGGTTCCGGTCTCTGCTCCTATCCCTCGAGCTTCTCCGCTCCCTTCCCCGACCATCGCGGTCATCCTCCTCGGAGCGATGCCGGCGACTACGGTGCCGGTTTGATCTAGGAGAGCGCGATCGTGATCGTGACCGCGACCGTGATCGTCTCCTCCTCCTCCGCCGTGATTCCCTATCCTTGTCCTTGAATCGAAACTTGGTCACCTTAGGCTTCTTCTCCCTCATCCTCCCTTCGGAGTCCTGATCCTGGTCCCCATCACACTCCCTATCCCTTTTGCGTTCACGCACACGTTCACGCTCACCATCCCGCTCCCCATCAGTGACATCCTCCCCGACGCCGGTCATGGGATCATCGCGGTCATGGCTGATACCCCTCTCCGTCCTGCTGCCCTTTGGAGGCTCAGCCGCTGCTGAAGTTGACCGTGACCGGCCCCTGTCCAACTCTGGATCCTGCGAGCGGTGCTTGCTCCTACTACCCCCACCAACACCCCTTGCACTGCTACCGTCTAGTGCCTCAGCATCGGTTTTGGCAGGCGCGACAGGAACAGGGTTGTAAGAGGCCAAGATTCTTCGCCGTTTGGGGGATCGTGGCGGTGAGTTGAATCCGTCAAAGGACATTGGTTCTGCTGCTTTTGCTTCTCTGTCCGTTGTTGGTTCAAAGGGCGGTAGTCCTGTGGATTCTCGACCCCATGAAACTGAGGATCTCGTCCGCGGTCTGCTTGTGGTCTGTGACAACCCAGACGGGGGGTCCTTGCTCAGGGCCTCTTCAGGCGCGCACTTGCGATAAACATGTGGCCTCTCGGATTACTTTAATTCAATGCCCCGGTGCCGTAGATCCGTGAGTTTTTTCCGGGAGTTGATTCGGACTTTGCTGCTTTGGTGTGCTGTGCGGCGACCCAGGTGAGGAGGTGAGATGGTGAGGTTGACGCTGCAGTGTCGTCGCTGGTGGTCAGGTGTACATACACCACTAGGTAGTAGGTACTTAATAGGTAGAGGTAAGTAGTCATGGCAGTGTCCAAGACAGTGCACATATCCGTAAGTTTGAAATTACCCTCTTTGGCGTTATCGCGTATCCGTAACAATACTTTGGTATCGTAACTTTCACGTCAGTTTTTTATTTTTTTTATTTTTTCTTAGCGATCCTTTTCGCACGTGGAAAGTCATTGGGACCCGGGTTAGGGTAAAACCTGTCACTTTTCAGCGCAGCCCCCACCCTCCATCCCATCTCCCATGTGCTCCCAATCCTCCAACTCCACACCACCAGGGCAATCAGCGCCGGGGCCGCTTCCATGGCCATGGAACAGCAATAGTGTAGCCTCCTCTCCCCCCTCGCTCGCTCGCTCGCTGGGTTCATGTCATGAGACGGGATTCTTTCTCCGCATGACGCGGCTGCTTCCGCTGGTGAAGAAGTTCTTTGGACAATTCCGCACAACTTCCACTTTTGCAACCGGAGTCGTATCCGATGTTCAACAGTAACAATTGATGGCGCCAATACTGTACTGGAAAGAACTTATCGAACGAAGCTCGAGGCTCCTTCATTTTACGCTACGTAGAGGGTAGTACACCGTCTTGAAACTGTGTCGAGGTACTTCTACATATACTCCCTTACGACATACCACCGTGGTCAGCGTCGACAGTCCGAGACATCCATCCATCCATCTCACTCTGGACAGAAATCCTGCGAGGTCGAGAACAATCCGTCAAGACCTTGATTGGGCTTTGATGCCAATTGATGCCCAATCGTTACCTAGCATCTCCATGTCGGTCTCGGATATCGGGTCCAGGACCGTCAATCATCTCCTCCTCCTCATCATCATCATCATCAAGGGTGCTTGTTGTGGGCGACGGCCGGACTTTTCTCGATCGCACTCTTTCCCCAGACGGGAAGTGAGACACATCCATCGTACCATTGGTACCTACTGATCAACCAAGGCATCAACGAGCAATTGGCAACAGAGTTGCAAAAGAAAAGCAAGTGGTTGCATATCAATCAGGACATTGGAAAAGCAGATCGTCTGCACATTCTATGTACCTCATGCACACTCTATTCAGAGGATGTTGCAGACCGTTACATTGCTGAGCCTCGCACCAATAGTGCGAAATGCAAACTGCAAGTTCGATATATCTACTGTCGCTATCCAGGTTCCCAGGGCAGGGTCATATTAAATGAAAGAGGAAGAAGAAAAAGAAAAAGAACGTATTGCCGGCAATATCCCGGATCTTCATGACCACTCTCATCCTTCATTTCGCGTTGGCGGACCCCATGCAGCTCGTCAAAGGGGTCTGCGAGGCAAAGTGCTTTAACAGAGGCTTTTGTGTTGAGGAGTTGCGAGGACGCGTGCTTAGCTTCCGTAGCCTTATTCAAGAGAGAAAGGCGGGACGGAGACTAGCACCGGGGCCGGACTAGGTAGGACGGGGGAGTTAACCCGCCCACTTGTGACGAGGTACATTGTACGTCAGTCGCGGCAAGATCCCGAAAACGAATGAGCTGCAGTGTGCATAAAGTAGGGGATGGATGCATGCAAGTCTCACAAGCGCTTATCCCAACCACACCTCATTCGTGTGGGTAAACAAGCGCTTGGGGCGCGCGGAGCGCCCGCCATATAATAGAGTCTCTCGCGACGGTGATGGTGTGGAAATGAAGCCTAGGGAAGGTTTTGGTATTAGGCACGTACATTGACTGGTCCTTGAAACAACCTGATGTGATGAGCGAGCGAGTGTCCCATCATGACCATGTTCTTCCGGTCAACCCCTCGGAAAAGCCTCACATTGTCATCACTTCGGGATACTGATGGTGATAGAAGGAGCGTGTCCAAGTGCAAGTTGCATGTGTCTGGACCGATAAAAAGGCTCTTGTGTACATCACTCATTCACAAGTAAGTGTACTTGGATCACAGCTACAATAAAAATGGATTGGTAAGAAAACACTGCAAAGAACCCCCCATTTCCACCACTCCCACCATCAACATTACCACCATTGCCACCGCCTCATTTTCCGCCCTTTTCTTCTTCCCAGGTATGTAATATCGTTGGCTCACCGGCCCTTGTAGTAGTTAACCTTCCATTCAACAGCCCCGACGTTTTCCTTTTCTCTTCCCCCTTCCCCTGGCTGCCTAAAACCTAGCGGTAGATCATCATGCACGTAAGGAATTCAGGAGTCACCGCATGGCCTTTTCGCGGCGGGACCACCGCAGTCATCATCGGCATGTTTCTTCTTTCCATTCAGCTAGCCTTGACTGGCGGTCATTTCTAGGTAGCTTCACTTCCTTGACAGCCTTGCTTCTGCAATGTGCACTGTACTGTATGTGCAACATAGGTCCTCAGCTTCCCCGTCACCAACAATCATGACCATGACCATGACCAACCAACCAACTGTGGTGTTGACTAGGGCGTAAGGCGTTAACTGGTTGATTTCGATGCTTTTTTTTTGGAGGGGGTGGGGGAGGGAAGGTCATCTGCACTGCCTCAAGGAAGTTGTTCTTTTGTTTCTTTACTTAGCGACAAATGGTAAACGCTTCTCTCTCTCTCTCTTCTGGATGGTGCTTCCAAATCATAAAGTCCTGGGTTGAACAGTATGTATCAGTCACACCTAATAGTCCAAACTACACACCTGAGATAAAGCCTCTGACGGCTTTCACGAAGCGTCACGATACGTGAGATGTGGTGAACAGGAAACCATATGTCAAATCCAGTAGCCTTCAATACTTCTTGAACCATCAGCAAACTGACCTCAAACACATCTTTTTCCCTTCTGTACCAAAAATTTTACCTAGAGGTACCCTTAATCAGGGGCATTGACTCAGAACGGGACTTACGAACACCCCGAATAACACAATTAAATTCCCTTTCCATGCTTCTTTGAAAGCCATCGACGCCAACATTTCCCGACAAGTTCCAAAAATGCTTTGCTTTTTTTTAACGGTATTCGCAATGTCTCACTTCATTTCCCTTTTCTAACTCCTTGACGCCCAACACAACCCTAATCAAGGCATATATCGATGGTACCACTCGGACGAATTTGGTCATGTCGGGTTCATCAAAGCAAATTATCGAGGGTCTAGAAGAACTCATACAGTACCTACAGTATGTCAATTTTTGACAATGCTTATGAATGGGGCCGAGTAACACAGAAATCTAGGTAGTTCTAGTGCTCGGCAAAAACGTAGTCTTCATCTCGGTAGCCCACCCATCTAGACCCCCCTTGCCCTCCACGTTTCCGTCGCCCCATCCTCATGGTTCGCTTGCAGACTCCGCTTTGAAACCTAATCTTAAAGCGACCATGATGTCACTTTATGAGCGGGTGTCATGCCTAGAGGTACGCTTTGGTTTCTGATCTCGATTATCAATTTTACCAGTGTATTCCAGGGGTGCCACATGTTGTGTGAATGCCCCCTGGAGTGTGATGAGATGAAGCACTGTTACGGGACTGGATCGCTAATAAATGATGAATGCGACCTGAGAGTCATCGAGAATTCGCATTTCTAATATGGTGTATCAGGTTCGGGCTTCCGTGACCCAAAATATCTGCTGGGATAACGTGTAAATATCACATTTCATTTCCAACCTAGCCGGAGGTTGGAAGGACGATTGCGAGGAGCTGAATGTGACGGCGAGTGTGAACATCTGATCACTCTTCAAAACTTGGATGGATTTCGCATTGGAATCCGCAATTTTCACATATCCAGGCCTCAGACAGTGCCATCATTCAAAGACATACATGCAATAGCCCGTTATTTTGCTCAACTATTAAGCTTTATTTATCCTATTCCCGAACCGCACACTCCATCCTCGACGTAGCTTTTGATAACAAACTCCGCCTTAGCCAATTAAAGGGTCGTCTATCTCCTAGACAGTCACGAGCCCCTGACATTCCCCCCAGACGGGTTCTACCCGTGATTTGCCAGTCCCATTAAAAACAACAGAAATTATAACCCCTGTGGTCCCCCGTAAATGGAAAAAAGTCCAGATGCAATATAACGAACGGCCAAAAACACAAAGCGCCAACTCCGGACATGAAGAAAACCAAATCCCCGTGAAACACCAGCCCAATGATGATGACCCTGTGTGCACACCAAATTAAGAAACCCACGGGACATGTTCCCGTGACCACTTCCTCTCAGCCCCGTTATGGGCAGGGATATTAACAGACTAATGGAGCAGCGGAGCTGCGATATTCGAAGGCTGATTAGTAGGTTGATAAGCCGTGGTTGTAGAAGGATTAGGTGCGTAAGCGAACGGTAGGTAGCGGTAAGGACCAGCCGTATGACGCTCGAACGTAAGCTTGGTTCAAAAAAAGAAAAAAAAAGAAGAAAAAAAGTAGTGATGATGAATGTGAAACAAGGAGCGACGTATAATCAACATGACAAATGGAATTTTGATACAAAACGAACGTAGCAAGACACAAAGTCTAAGAAAAGAAGCACGCTCTCATCAAGGAAAAAGCCATTGCCGGTTGCCCGGGCTCGCTTTCAGATAACTCTAGATCAGGGGAGAAGACAAAAGAAAGATGCAAAAATAGAGAGCGTAATGTTGTGTAGTTGGGCCGAGATCACTCGTTAAGCGGCAGGTCGGTTGGAATGCGGCTCATGCCTCCATTGCTCAACTGGCCTTCGTAGGCT